CCACTCCGCAAATAAGAAGGTAAGCACTTTAGAAGACAGTGAAGATAGACAGAAAATGTTATGGAAGAAAATATTTTTGTGCAAGATGCACATCTTCCAATGTTCTTGAATGGCTCATAATTTTACTTTAAATACCGGTTCATTACTTATTGTATTGGGTTGTTAGTTGAAGTCCACACAGATGTTTTATTGAATTTTCTATAAACGTTTAATAATACGTAATTTACGTTCAAGATTTTTTTTTATCCACAACGAGGAAGCTCTTGGCCTGTATCTCACCTGATGGTAAGTGATGATCAGGCCGAAGGTGGAAGCGAGCTTCACCCGGGCTATATTATATTTTTCAGAAGCAATGTACCAAATTGTGAACCTGAACTACATTGGAACAGAAAAATAAAATCTAAGTAGGTAGATATTAAAAGAAATAAAGTGAACTTAGGCTGGGTTGCACCATCTTATTTTAACCGCAACAAGAACAATAACTGGTGCTATTTGTATGGAGTTTGACAGACTTTTGACGTTTGTCAAAGTTAAAGTAAGACATACTATAGGTATAATTATTTGCAAATAGATACTAATCAAGTTTTTAATGTTAAAGCATACAGCTACATTGCATTGTGAATTAATAGCACCCAGGTTTTCTAAAGCAACGGACTACTAATATGTCCAGGGAGGAAGTGAATGGTCTAAATTAAACTAATTATTGTCTGTAGAGATAGTTAGACATTATTGTAGCTGTACAAAGGACTGCATTTGCAAACTTGCAGATAACAAGTTTGAATATTATAATTTCTATTGTTATTTCTTGTCTTTTGTCTAAAGATAACAATGGAGCTTCTGAGAATAGAATTTCTTTAAACAAAATCTGTTTTGATGAAGTTTAGTTTTTTTTTCATAATGTGTTAAATAATTCTTATGAGGTGAGGACACAATAAAAACCTGCCTATGATGAAGTTAGTAACTAAATTTGGGCATGTTTAAATAACAAAAATTAAAACTTTTAGCGACATCAAAAAAATATTACAAAATTACGAAACTTATTGGCACTTTAAGATACCTACTTACTCTTATTTTAGTACATAGTTTTTAAACAATTTTTTTTTGAGGTGTTATTGAATTGTCAATTTTAGAATATTATAATCCAAACATGATACCAAACTTAACTATACATGACAGATCCCCGCAGATACAACAAAACAACTCCCATATAATTTCATTGTAAAGTCGTAATAATAGAATGTTATCGTAGAAGCGAGTTCCGTCGAAGTTTATTTGCTTGTGGAGCAAGTTCTGAATTATATTCTCACTTTGAAATAATATTATTTCGTTCAGCGCCAACCATTCATCGTGTATCTATACTTACTAATATTATAAAGCTGAAGAGTTTGTTTGTTTGCTTGAACTCGAAAAAATATTTTCTTGTTAGATAGCCTATTTATCGAGAAAGGCTTTGGGCTATTTAACATCAACCTAAAGTTAATAGGGGTGAAGCAGTAAAGAAAAACGGGAAATATTATTCAAACTATTTTCACACGTACGAAGTCGCGGGCATAGCTAATTTGAAAAATAAATGGAGAGAGAGCGAATGTTAAGACTATTAAAGAGAAGTTTTCTCAAAGTAACATGCAAGATACCTATTTATTGAAAAATAGACGATACTAGATCGTTCTATTTCTACAAAACGTTGAAGTAGTAAGCCTCTTACTGTGTATTTCTGAAGCGCGTTTTTAATAGCTCATTGCTTTATAGCGAAATGGGAATAAATACCTATTTCATTTGCTTTTGATACAAAATTGTTTCCTATCAAGCTACGAGTAAGTAATTTTTAGTTTTGTTAAAGAAAATTACAATGCGGGTCTAGATAAGTGGCACGTTTTTTTCTAATCGAAAATCGTGTTTGCGAAGATAAAACGTGTTTGCGACTAAATCTAAGCTATGACCGCGACTTAGTTTCTACGTAGTAGTAGTAGTAAACGCTCAGCCGTGTGAAGAAAGTGGAACACGGCTTACAATGTAAGAGAAAATCTTTGTAATCTACTATTAGTTTGGCTTGACGTGTATTAAGGTGATACAAGTTTACGTCTTCAGGTTTAATGTCAAGTAAACTAGTTATTAAATTTTAAGAATAAAATCCTAACATCTCTGGCACAAAATGTGTTTTCAGAAGGTAAAAATCTATAGTCTGTCCAAGGTTTTCAAGTATTTACTATTATACAATTTACTTGCAATACGTGTAGTTGTCACACATGATGTCTTGCCCTCTGTGCCCAAACAACTGTTCAAAGGAAGATTTGATGACAGCTACTGACAACGTCACTCTTGTAGCGGAGTTTTGGGCTGGCACTGTGGGTTCGTTATCGACACTACAAGAAGAAAAAGACTTCTACTTGTCACTGGAAAATAAATTAAAATGCCTAGTGTTACAAGAATTCATATTAATTAAAGTTTTAATCTTTTCGATTCAATATGCAGCACTTTTCAATAGAAAACTCCAATCCACTGGAAGAGAAGTGTAAAAATAAAACACTCCACTTTTTGATAGAATCGGTCGCAAATCGCCGACGTCAACTCTCTCGGCGTCGATCTAATCGCTCGACTTTTTGCCGAGCGAATAACGAGTGCCTTGAGAATAGAGCCGCAGACACATTGAGGTTGATTTAGTTCGGAAGTCAGATATGTTTTCTGTTAAAAATACACTTCACCTCTCGACGAAACCTTTTTTATCTTATTTCCAAGAATTGTTTGACTCGAGTATATTTCTTAGAAATGTTTATTATGAAAGAGAAGCTATTTATATGTATATTTTCTCACATAATGTTATTTTCCTACGACAAAGAGATTCAGTGTAAGTGTTACTTTCAGAAAATGATTTTCTTACGAAAATCAAATAAAACACAATAACAAGCAACCTTTCACCTTTAATTTTAGTAGCAAGCACTTAAATTCTCCCTTTGTTAGTTCACAAGGCGTTGTAACGAAATCGCAAAAACATTTGAAACTCAATAAAATGTAACCCAACTCCTGGAGATCCAATAAACTGCTACCTGCAATGTCTTCCATCCTGGAATGTGTGGAATGCCGTTCATTACCGCCTCGCCCGTTCCAACTTGTTACCTCCCCAATTTGACCGGGTTGCACTTACATTTATAGCTAGAGACGATTTATATGAAAGTTCAAGATGGAGCAATAATGCGGATTCTTATTAACAAAAAGTTGAAGTTGACTCCGCTTTTGTCAGTTCAGGAATGCTTGTGATTTAGTTCGCGTGGAAATTTATTTGATTCTGGAAAGGGGTACAATTTGTGTTTCGAAAAGGAACCTTACGAAAATATAATTGAAATAGTATGGTTAAGACTGATGTGAAATGTAGCCTTGTTCGGTAGTTTAGAGCATTATAATCATCCCTAAGCTAACAGGTTTCTAATCTTTCCTTAACTAATTACGACAGCACATCAAGTCATATAGTTATGATAGATACAATTTTAGAACAAAAAAAAACAGTATGATTTGTTCTCGACTAAAACTAGCATCATTAAAAAAAACCAAATCTCAAATAATGGAACACACAAAAAGCTTTTCGGTCACGTTCGAAACCTAAACTTATGTATAAAACAGTAGCAATGCAATCAGTACATCGAGCAGAGCGGTGTGTGACGTCGGATAATCTAATCCGAGTGGATTGCCGTAGCACCGTAGCAGCTACGAGCGTTATCGTAGCACTGGTAGAGCTCGTAGCAGCGAACGGACTACGAGTCAAATTGTCTGCTACATGCTAATATTGGCGAGCTTGGATTAGCGAAAACGAGTTTTTGGGTATAGCTCGCTAAGTTGAATATTTTACTATGGATACGTGCTACTTGTTGTTTTACTTGGTGTGAAGTACTAAGCATTTTGCAAGCTAAATTATCTGCTACCAAAACGGGTAGATACCAAGTCTGTACATACATATGAAACTTCAACTTTGGATTTGCATTTAGAGCCTGACGTTAGAAGTTTGTGACCAACAATTTAGTCCTTAACTTCAGAGGAGGTAATTGTGCTATACAGCTGTGACCACTGTGAAGCATTTGTGGCACATATTATGTGAATTTCATTTATAAAACTACAATCTAATTTTACAACAGTGCGGATAATAAAGGATAAATAAGTTTTGTACAAAACCAATCCATTCCTATGCGCCATATGCAGAAAATTGGCATTATCTTTCACCAAATGTAAAACAACGCGATTGTTTTTGCTCTACACCTCGATGCAAAATCCTACAAGCATTGTAGGTACTTCCAATTAAAAATTTCCTGCAAACAGAGATGGAATTTTTACAAACGCGCCGACGGGAAGTTTTCTAATTAGATGTCACCGACCCCGACTTGTTTGTTTTAATTTAGTGAAATATTGGATTGCGTAAATAAAATAATATTTGTTTAAAATATTGCCTTCGAAGTGATTATGAAATTTAATCTGAGAATCCTAGTTAATTCGTAAACTCACTAGAGTACCGTTTTGGCAAAAGCGTTTGGACCTTTTGTATTTTTCCCATTGTTTCATAAGGATTTTACTTTGCTTACCATTATTAAAAAAAAGTATATAAGTATGTTTATATCCGTTGTCTAGTACCCATAGTACAAGCTTTGCTTAGTTTGGGACTAGCAGCGCGGTGTTAAATGTCCAAGGATATTTATTTATTTATTAAAATTTAGTGGTTCTTTTCTCAAAAGATTGGGCCCAAAATTTAGCAAATCCTAAGGCTAAGACAAAATATCTTATAAATAGGTAAACTAAACACTGCTTGTAATTAGATTACACCTAACGCCCGTATTCACAAAAATTACTATGAGGTCTCACAGTGCGCGTGAACGCACAGGGTGACACATAAACCAAACACAGATCTCTAATCAACGCTGTGCGTTCTGTTATNCGGCCCTGCACACAAGTGTTGAAAAACAATGCAATTAATTACACTTGTTATGTAAAAAGAGAAAAATCACTTTTATTTTGAAACGTACATCTAATAATAATATGGGCGACATTTGGAGGCAAAATAGGCCCCAAACCTGGTGCCGCTAATGTCGTCGAGAAGTCCAGAGTCTAAAACAACAGAAATTGTAAATCAGTATGCTATCCCAGATTTTTTAAATGATTGAGATTCAAATAATAGTAGGTAATTATGAGATAGGTGGCTTTAAAAAAACCTCCTTACCTTGGCAAGCGTTGATAAATTGAAGTGATAATATGAGAATCCCAGTGTGTTAGTGGCGCCCTCGCTAAGGCTCGGCCAAAGAAACTGGGTCTGTGGCAAACAAAATGTATAAACAGAGGGTTGAGTTTCTATGGAAGAATAAATGGTACAAAGTATAATGACTGCAAAAAACTTACATTAGAAACGGTATTGCAATAGCTAGCATTTGCAGCAGCACAGCCGGGAGTCATCATCATCATCATTTCAGCCACAGGACGTCCACTGCTGAACATAGGCCTCCCCCAATGACTTCCACATCGCACGGTTGGTAGCGGCCTGCATCCAGCGCCTTCCCGCTACCTTTATCAGGTCATCGGTCCACCTTGTGGGTGGACGTCCCACGCTGCGTTTTCCGGTACGTGGCCTCCATTCCAGAACCTTGCTGCCCCATCGGCCGTCGGCCTAAAGTCGCTGACATAGCCCGACGGATCAGCAAGCTGAAGTGGCAGTGGGCTGGGCACATAGTACGCAGCCGGGAGTAATCGCAAAATTTTCATTTTGCGGAGCACACAGTCAAGTTCTGTAAATATAGGAACGTCTTTATTTTTACAAATTAGTCAGTTTTTTAGAAATTTTAACATTTTCACAAAAAAGAAAAAAAAAGAAATCACCTTTTTCACCCTTTTTTTAATTAGAGGCTAATAAAATCCAAATTACAGTGATTACCAATAAAATAAATAAGAATCCTCAATAACAAACGCGCTCGATTTGACCGTGCCCCTAGATAGGTACCTAAGTATATTACACTGTTGCAAACACTAGGTTACGAAACTTACGAATCAATTATACAGGGCCAAAGTGAATACTGACTGACACATTCATAATAAAACCGGCATTGCAGTGCACAGTGTACTTTAAAAAAAAAAAATGTACCCTCATCTGTGCGTTGTTTGGAGCTCAGACTTTCGAGTATATTTGGAGTAAAGGTCTCTTCAATGACAATTTATTATTTGATTTTAAGTTTTTCGTAGTAGGTTTACAAACTGCAACAAGATCAAAATGGTGAGAAAAAAAACCGGTGAAGTGCGTGTCGGACTCACGCACAAAGGGTTCCGTACCATTGATTTATGAAATTAATTTTTATTTTTTTAATTTAAGTTATTTGTATGAAAGATAACGCGGTAATAAGCGGTTTACGATTTACGAGGTATTAAAAAAAACTACTCACTAGATCTCGTTCAAAACAATTTTGTTGGTAGTTTTTTATTAATGTACATCATATGTTTTATTTAGATTTTTCATTTTCTAATTTTAGAGAAGTTAGAGGGGGGGGGGGGCAACTTTTTTCCACTTTGGAAGCGTATTAAAATAGAATAGAAAAAAAGTATTTTAGAAACCTCGATATCATTTTTGAAGACCTATCCATAGATAACCCACATGTACTCGTACCTATGTGTTTGACGAAAAAAAAATTTTGAGTTTCAGTTCTAAGTATGGGGAGCCCCCAATATTTTATATTATTTTTTTATTTTTGCATCAAAATCTTAATGCGGTTCACAGAATACATCTACTTACCAAGTTTCAACAGTATAGCTCTTATAGTTTCGGAAAAAAATGGCTGTGACATACGGACGGACAGACGGACAGACAGACATGACGAATCTATAAGGATTCCGTTTTTTGCCATTTGGCTACGGAACCCTAAAAATGAATGGAGAGAGAGCGAATGTTAAGACTATTAAAGAGAAGTTTTCTCAAAGTAACATGCATAGATAGTATTTATTGAAAAAGAGACGATACTAGATCGTTCTTTTTCTACAAAACGTTGAAGTAGTAAGCCTCTTACTGTGTATTTCTGAAGCGCGTTTTTAATAGCTCATTGCTTTATAGCAAAATGGGAATAAATACCTATTTCATTTGCTTTTGATACAAAATTGATTCCTATCAAGCTACGAGTAACTAAGTAATTTTTAGTTTTGTTAAAGAAAATGTATAAATTTTTAAGCTTACAATGCGGGTCTAGATAAGTGGCACTTTTTGATCGAATCTAAAATCGAATCTGTTAAAACTCCATACAAAAAAAGGCTTTTCGACCATCTTTCTACATTAAAACTGTCACATTTGGCGTTTTGTCTAGGGGGGCAGATATGTTCATGCAACGTTCCTTTTAACAGTAACAACAGTGTAAGCCTTACTGACATTTAACTATTCATTTTCGTTGCAAAATATTACAAGGAGATAAAAAGTGTTTGCGACTAAATCTAAGCTATGACCGCGACTTAGTTTCTACGTAATAAACGCTCAGCCATGTGAAGAATGTGGAACACGGCTTACAATGTTGGTGAAAATCTTTGTATCTACTATTAGTTTGGCTTGACGTCTATTAAGGTGATAAAAGTTTACCTCTTAAGGTTTAATGTCAAGTAAACTAATTATTAACTTTTAAGAATAAAATCCTACTAACATCTCTGGTACGAAATGTGTTTTCAGAAGGTAAAAATCTATAGTCTGTCCAAGGTTTTCAAGTATTTACTATTATACAATTTACTTGCAATACGTGTAGTTGTCACACATGATGTCGTGCCCTGCGTTCCCAAACAACTACACGCAGGAAGATTTAATAAAGGCTACTGACAACGCCACTCTTGTAGCGGTGTTTTGGGCTGACACTGTGTAGGTTTGCTGTCGAAACTACAAGAAGAAGTTTTCGGACTTTTAGTTGTCACTGGAAAATAAATTAAAATGCCTATTGTGTTTCAAGAATTCATATTAATTAAAGTTTTGATCTTTTCGATTCAATATGCACTTTTCAATAGAAAACTCCAATCCACTGGAAGAGAAGTGTAAAAATAAAACACTCCACTTTTTGATAGAATCGGTCGCAAATCGCCGACGTCAACTCTCTCGACGTCGATCTAATCGCTCGACATTTTGCCAACCGAATAACGAGTGCCTTGAGAATAGAGCCGTAGACACATTGAGGTTGATTTAGTTCGGAAGTCAGATATGTTTTTCTGTTAAAAATATACTTCACCTCTCGACGAAACCTTTTTTATCTTATTTCCAAGAATTGTTTGACTCGAGTATATTTCTTAGAAATGTTTATTATGAAAGAGAAGCTATTTATATGTATATTTTCTCACATAATGTTATTTTCCTACGACAAAGAGATTCAGTGTAAGTGTTACTTTCAGAAAATGATTTTCTTACGAAAATCAAATAAAACACAATAACAAGCAACCTTTCACCTTTAATTTTAGTAGCAAGCACTTAAATTCTCCCTTTGTTAGTTCACAAGGCGTTGTAACGAAATCGCAAAAACATTTGAAACTCAATAAAATCTAACCCAACTCCTGGAGATCCAATAAACTGCTACCTGCAATGTCTTCCATCCTGGAATGTGTGGAATGCCGTTCATTACCGCCTCGCCCGTTCCAACTTGTTACCTCCCCAATTTGACCGGGTTGCACTTACATTTATAGCTAGAGACGATTTATATGAAAGTTCAAGATGGAGCAATAATGCGGATTCTTATTAACAAAAAGTTGAAGTTGACTCCGCTTTTGTCAGTTCAGGAATGCTTGTGATTTAGTTCGCGTGGAAACTTATTTGATTCTGGTAAGGGTTCTGGTATTGACTTCAATTATGAAGATGTTTGTATGAAAATATAATTGAAAAAGAATGGTTAAAACTGATGTGAAATGTAGCCTTGTTCCGTAGTTCAGAGAATTATAATCATCCCTAAGCTAATAGGTTTCTAATCTTTCCTTAACTAATTACGACAGCACATCAAGTCATATAGTTGTGATAGATATAATTTTAGAACAAAAACTGGTATAAAAAAATCAAATCCCAAATAATGGAACACAAAAAGCTTTTCGGTCACGTTCGAAACCTAAACTTATGTATAAAACAGTGGCAATGCAATCAGTACATCGAGCAGAGCGGTACCTATGTGACGTCGGGTAATCTAATCCGAGTGGATTGCCGTAGCACCGTAGCAGCTACGAGCGTTATCGTAGCACTGGTAGAGCTCGTAGCAGCGAACGGACTACGAGTCAAATTGTCTGCTACATACTAATATTGGCGAGCTTGGATTAGCGAAAACGAGTTTTTGGGTATAGTTCGCTAAGTTGAATATTTTACTATGGATACGTGCTACTTGTTGTTTTACTTGGTGTGAAGTACTAAGCATTTTGCAAGCCAAATTATCTGCTACCAAACGGGTAGATACACAGTCTGTACTCGTATACATATGAAACTTCAACTTTGGATTTGCATTTAGAGCCTGACGTTAGAAGTTTGTGACCAACAATTTAGTCCTTAACTTCAGAGGAGGTAATTGTGCTATACAGCTGTGACCACTGTGAAGCATTTGTGGCACATATTATGTGAATTTCATTTATAAAACTACAATCTAATTTTACAACAGTGTGGATAATAAAGGATAAATAAGTTTTGTACAAAACCAATCTATTCCTATGCGCCATGTGCAGAAAATCGCCATTATCTTTCACCAAATGTAAAACAGCGCGATTGTTTTTGCTCTACACCTCTATGCAGAATTTCACAAGCATTGTAGGTACTTCCAATTAAAAATTTCCTGCAAACAGAGATGGAATTTTTACAAACGCGCCGACGGGAAGTTTTCTAATTAGATGTCACCGACCCCGACTTGTTTGTTTTAATTTAGTGAAATATTGGATTGCGTAAATAAAATAATATTTGCTTAAAATATTGCCTTCGTAGTGATAACGAAATGTAATCTGAGAAACCTGGTTAATTCGTAAACTCACTAGGGTTACCCTTTTTGGCAAAAGCATTTGATTCTTTTATATTTTTCCCATTGTTTCTTAAAGAAATTTACTGATAAATTTCTTTACTCACCATTAAAATTTAGTGGTTCTTTTCTCAAATTTAGCAAAATTTAGCAAAACCTAAGACATTTGTGTAAGACAATATGCTATAACACCTAAGAAATTACTTATGATTCAAACAAATTTCATTCAACATTTATCAATGCTACAAAAACACCTCGTCAAACGAAAATAAAATTCGNAGTGGTTTGAACAAGTTAATTAACCTTGTTTTTGTTGACTGGCGTTAATATTTATTGAAATATAAGCATTTAAAGTTAGGTAGGCCTTATTTGTATCAAGTACCTTAGTATGAATGATTACTCCCTTATTTTATTTCTAACCCCTTAATATTACCCCGTATTTGGGTGCATACTTACAAATATTTCGAATTGAATAAATGAAGAGCATTCACAATTTTTCGCCAATGTATAACAAGCCTTATGGCCTTACTATTTCGTTACTACTGTTTCGTTACGTACATTTTTTTTGAGAAATACTCAATTATTATTTTCAGGGTTATGTACCTTAAAGGATTAAGGGTAAAAACGGAACCCTATTACTATGGCTTCGCTGTTTGTCTGTCACCAGGCTGTATCTCATGCCTTTTCCAAAATATTTAGTTTAATAGGCACTTTAAAAATCATCCCCATTCGCCATCGACTCTTTTATTGTTATATTATAACAATAAAAGAGTCGTACGGAACCCTTCGTACGTGAATCCGATTCGAACTTAGTCGGTTTTCTATAATTGCTGCCGGCCTCTGTAACGCTGCGTCTACTTTTGACCGAGACTGCCAGTCGTTTCTAGGATTGACTAGGCAAAGCCCGAAACAGATTATTTTAGTTTCGACGTTTGACTGAACAGTTTAGGCACTTCTAGGTTTGACTTAGTCAAAGGCCGAAATAAGAATTCACTTCGGGCCTGGCCCGAAGGCTTTGGTCAAACCTAGGATAGACCAGTCATTCCGCGAAGAGACTGCATATCGACCTTTGACTATGACATAGACATTTAATGGGACTATTCGTCTACTACTAGTCTACTCTACCTCTTAGTACGCACTTATTATCTTGTAAGAGGTATTTTCTTCAACAAATAAGAGGCTACCAAAAGTGAAAAGGTAAAGGACAGTGCCAATCCATGTATGGAAGTTGGACCAAGTGCTGCCCAGAGTGAAACCATAGTGCATTTTGTTTCTCAGACCAATACTAATGTGTAAACCGAAGCGCACTGAAATCTATCCCTGGAGTTAAGAGAAAAAAAGAGTTTTGTTTTGAATTATTTACATACCAAATATCATCGATGTATACGTACTACGCATAAGATTTCGCGATTTTGGCATTAAATAACACTCGATATGTTGAACTAAACCATACTGCATCCGTACACCTTACTTTAGTGCGACTTAGACATTCTTTATAAGCGATCTAGCGCTGTTGCAGTAGTTTGGTTAGTTGACAGAAATCATTATTTCCAAAATGAAGCAAGAAGTTTTAGCTTACAATAACTTCAATAATCGATTGTAATACACCAATAAATTGATTTTTCGCAAGGATAGAGAACTAAAACTTCTTACTTCATTTTGGAAATAATGATTTCTGTCAACTAACCAAACTACTGCAACAGCTCTAGATTGCTTATAAATAATGTCTAAGTCGCATTAAAGTAAAGTGTACGGATGCAGTATGGTTAAGTTCAACATATCGAGTGTTATTTAATGCCAAAATCGCGAAATCTTATGCGTAGTACGTATACATCGATGATATTTTGTATGTAAATAATTCAAAACAAAACTCTTTTTTTCTCTTAACTCCAGGGATAGATTTCAGTGCACTTCGGTTTACACATTAGTATTGGCCTGAGGTACAAAATGCACTATGGGTTGATTCTGGGCAGCACTTGGTCCAGACCCTGGCACCATCCAAATCATGCGCGACTTTTCAGCATCAGTCGCTATAATGTTAACTCGAAGGTAAGGTGTATTAGATGTCCTGAAAAGGGCCTACAAACTAATGAAAAATTTTAATTGGAGTAGAGTCTTTCGTTTTGTTGTTTTATCTATTTAACATAAATAGGTATTGTATGTTGCAACTATTTTCAGGCATCACAGAATGCGTTATTAGACTCAAGACACCAATGGTTGATTATTAATACTGACGATAATTATACAGTAATAAATAATGACTATGCTAAGAATTGGACAAGCAGCAATGTAAGAACTATGTTGGATATTATCGGGAACCTTAATATCAGTGTGGACACTGATATAACCCTGACTATACAAGGTGAGACTTCAAATGACAAATTCCATACAAACATTGAATGGAATTTCTCAGTTTGTCCTTATAGTGCCTTTTAATAGCCTTTCCTTGAGATATGCCTTTCTAAATCTGACAGTTTGCGGAAAAAAACTCCAAATCTTTATCTTTTTTTTCTTAATCGAGACCAACTTGCTTAGCGCAGGTTTGAGTTTCTTGCGCTGCTTCTTCTCAGCACTGGCCCAATTATTGTCCCGAAGCAGTGGCAGGGTTAATACTGGGATGGTGAAAAGTGCTTTTTAAAAGCCTACATGCAAAAATAAATGAGTTTTATAAGTTTTTTAAGATTACTGCATTATTTTTCTTAATCAGTTATTTTCATAGGTGTTAACAGTTTTGAGATCTTCGAATTATTTAATTACGGTAAAATACAAGGTGGTGATTTAAATATTATAAAAGCTGGATCATGGTCAGCTGAGAATGGTAAATATTAAGCATAGTGTAGCTTACAATATTCTTGTTTTATTGTGTTGCGGCGCTTCTTCTCAGCACTTGCCAAATGTTGGTCTCGAAGCGCTGGTAGGGTAAAAAGATTATGAGACATGTAGAGGCTCCTTAAGAGCAAAATGACGATTTGTAAGAACTATTTATTAGTCTAAACAAATAAAGAAATTTTAACTTTGACTTTAATATGCTTCTATAATTTTGTTTAGTTGTACGAGTATATGCGCTGGAAACAATGTAGAGTGCATGCGCCTGAGTTGATTCGCAAATAAATAAATAAATTCGATTATAAATATTCTTTCTTTTAGGTATAATGACAAACTTAAACGAGTATAAATATTACCGAAGATGGAATTTCCACCATTGGCCCCTGCGATTCATAGTCGTCGTAAGTATACCTACCTCATAAAAACATAAGTACCTTTTTTTAGTACCTAATGTGACATTATGAATAAATTAATGATACCATAAATGCCATTTACTAAAAAGAAGCAACATAAGATGTAAAATAGTAAGACATGGGTCTTAACGCGACTTTTATTTATGAGTTACATTATGTAGGTATGTCTGCTTGTGACCATGGCTGCAGCAGCAACGTCAAGCCGTGAGTACATAATGTAACTCATTAATAAACGTCGCGTTAAGACCCGTGTTTTATAGATGACCCACGCTGAACTGTCTCACCAAACTCAATGACAGGGGGGCGCTACCATCGTTCAACTATATGGTTTCCAACATTTCAAAAATCGGAACCAGCGATCCGGTATTGACGGTGGCGCCCCACTGTCAATGTCATGCATAGGACAGTTCAGTATTTTGGAACTATATTATTTTAGTTAAAATGGAACGCGAAAGTTTAAAATCTAACATAAGATAATATTAAAACTGGTTTTAGGTGGCAAAACCAGAACAGTTCGATTTAGATCGACTACTGCTTGCTGATAGGCGACAAACGCCGGGTGTCGCCACTATGCTTAAGACTGGCACGATCATACTCAATGTCTTAGCCGAAATACATAATATAAGGTAGGTAATAAATTAATTATCATTCGTTCGTTTCAGCCAAATGACGTCCACTGCTGGACAAAGGCCTCCTTCAAGGTTTTCCAGAATGAACGGTCCTGCACTGCCCGCATCCTTGCTCTTCCCGCGACCTTCACCAGATCGTTGGTCCACCTATAGTCTGGTCCGGGAGCACGTAGAATTTTGTCCAATAACCCCAAGCTACCCATCCTTATCGCTCTGTTATATCCGGTATTTGCATCCCTTATTGCTACCCTGGCCGCCCATCCCGCCATGTCAGCAGTTTGGGATCCAAAGCCATGTCTCTCAGCCTTTCGAGTAGTCAGTCCGTGCTCAGATCCCATAGTCGGCGGTTGCTCCGAGATAATTAATCCGAATTCAAGTTCTAATTAAAAGAAGTTTTTTTTAAAAAGCTAATTTCAATTCCCCGCGTAACATTTTGGTGGCAGCGGTGGGATCCGGAAATCTCCAGTGCCCAAGCACCGCCCCACGGACTCGCTCCGGATTCCTATCCTGAAATAAATAAAAACGTTATCCTTGAAAACTTACCTTGTGCCAGTGAACGTGACAAGTGTAACAAAAAACTTACCGTGATATCGTCGAAGTGCCGTGCTACAAGTCCTACCTAGAACCTTCAGAAGATCGTTTTGTGCTCAAAGAAGAATCCAACTGCATCGTGACCCGTGAACCGCAATCCTTTACCTGTTCTACGAAGTTCTCCAAGCTCCAAGCTGCAAAAAGAAAATCCTAGTGAAACTTACCTTTTTCCGTCGTGCTCCGCCGTGACTGCTCGCCGTGTCCTTGAACCTGCAAATAAAAATCCAAGCCATCACTCAAGTTATTCGAAGACCCGTGACCTCGAGCCGCAGTGCGCTTATCGCTCAGGAATGTTCCCGGTCGCCGCCGTCGTGTTCTTATCGGTCGCCCACGCAGTCTTCATACTGTAAGTCTTTGGTCATTGTCTAGACTAAGTTTAAATCAGAGTTCAGTTCTTTTTATTGATAAATTTATTTTGTTAGACGTATTATAAATTGTTTACTGTAAATGTCACCCGATATTTAACAGCTGCATCTGCATTTCTTGAGTTCGTGTTTTAAATTAATTATGCGTAAAGGCTCAAAACCCGAAGACGAAAAACTTACTATCGAGATTCCTGATACGGAACCTACTTTAAGTAGTTCAGACGTGAAATCGCCACTGGTTTCCCCTCGCGTGACAAGAAAAACAGCTGCAGCTCTCGCAATCACAATGTCCGAACTAGAGTTAAACATACTCTTCAAATTTATCAAACCCTATGACGGAAGTAGAGAAACTCTTAATTCATTCCTTGTTAATTGTGACAATGCTTTCGGGCTCGCGTCGGACGCACAAAAATCCATTCTGTTTAAATTTATCCTAAGTCAGCTGCATGGTAAAGCAGAGATTGCCTGCTCAATAAAAGAATTCACATCTTGGGACCAACTGAAAGAGTTTTTAAAGACTCAGTTTAGTGAACGAAAACACTATTCCCATCTATTAACGGAATTACAAGAGAACAAACAAGGTCCTCAGGACACTGTTAGCCAGTATGCCCTCCGCACCGAGACCTGCCTCTCACAACTTTTGACCGAAATATCGTTGTCCAACATCAAGGCCAAGGAATTAGCCGGCCGCACCGCGGCTATGGAAGACCTTGCCCTGCACCACTTTGTAATGGGACTTCATCCCCGAATCTCCAATATCATTAGATGCAAATCTCCTAAATCACTAAATGAGGCCATCAATTACGCTATTTCAGAAGAGCGTATCCAACAAACGCTGTACAGGCGTCCACAATCGGATCAAAAGCCAAACAATAATAATACTAATAACAGGTTTAGGGCCGGGCCTTCCAAACCAAATCAAAATTCATCTTTTTCCTCACAAAGACCTTCCAACCCCTCATCACAAGGGGCCTCCAACGTTGTCTGTCGTTATTGCAAAATACCTGGTCACGACATCTCGGTGTGCAGGAAACGCGAATATAATAATAACCGTTTCAAGGTCCATCAGAACCCCACTCATAACACTCATCAATCCCCACGTGTGAATTTTCTCGAACAACCTGAAGAGGAGGATGGCCATGACGAAGCCACCTCCTTGGTTGAGCCTTTAAACGAATAGTGGGCTCGCGGCGGTGTCTCGCGAGACCCAGTCTCACAAATCCAATCCAGCCATATGCATCGAATGACACCGTTTCCAAATCCAGGGACCACACGGGTAACCAGCCCCCAACAAGCGCCCTATCCTCTAAATCCAGGTACCACTCGGGTAACCAGCCCCAAACTAACGATCAAATCATTTCATCAACAAATCCTGTTAATTCCAAAAATCCTAAAATCCCTATCGTATCCACAGAAATCAGTAAAGTATACGAAGTAAACATAGACACAACTAAAAGATTGTTACCGCATGTGCTACTAGATTCACAAGCCTCAGACATCCCATTATCCTTGTTGGTCGACTCCGGTTCTGCTATATGTTTAGTAAAAGATTCCAGTATACGAAAGAATCTTAAACTCGTCAAAGAATCAATTAAACTCAAGGGTATAGATTCCCACGATGAACCAACCCAGACTGAAGGTCATTTTCAACTCAAACTAAATGTAACAGATAATAAATCCTTGTCATTCAAATTCCATGTTGTTAAAAACATAAATTTGCCCTATGATGGCATCATAGGTTCAGATTTTCTCACCACCTTTGGTTGCAAAATCGATTATACTCATGATATATTAAAAGTAGGCAAATTCGACATAAAATTACACTTTTCAGAGCCCTTTTATGTTATTCCACCTCGCACAGAAGCAGTCATAGAGTGTTCAATCCAGAAAACCAACCTCAAGGAGGGTATTATCATAGACCAACATCTGTCCGATGATATTCTGATATCCAATTGTATTGTTAAAATAAAAGACAATAACCGTGTCAATCTAACTATTGCCAATACTTCAGAGACCTTCGCGAATGTCAAAACTAACCTTAATCTTCATGTGGAACCATTACACACCTCTGCATATCCAGTTAACACAAGCATACAAACCACATCCAAGCGAACAGAACAAGTCCTTAACTCACTCAGAACATCTCATCTGAACCAAGAAGAGAGAGATGCTCTCATAGACATCTGCTCACAATACTCTGATATCTTTCATCTGCCCGATGACCAGCTTACATTTACGTCTGCCCTCAGTCACCAAATCAAAACAAACAGCGACATCCCCATTCATACCAAGTCGTACAGATTCCCAGAATACCACAAAAAGGAAGTGGAGACTCAGATTGGTAAAATGCTTGACCAGGGAATCATTGAACCTTCATCTTCCCCTTGGAGTTCACCGATTTGGGTAGTGCCCAAAAAGATGGACTCCCTAGGGCAACGCAAATGGCGAATCGTTATTGATTACCGGAAGCTTAACGACATAACAGTCGGCGAAACTTACCCAATCCCTCAAATATCCGAAATCCTCGACCAGCTGGGAAACAGTAAATATTTCACCACATTAGATCTCACTTCCGGATTTCATCAAATCCTTATCTCCCCAGAGGACGCCCCTAAAACCGCCTTTTCTGTCCCTCAAGGACATTACCAATTCAACAGAATGCCTTTTGGATTGAAAAACGCACCATCCACCTTCCAGAAATTGATGAATAACTGTCTTTCCGGTCTCCAAGGCACGCGATGCTTTGTTTATTTAGACGATATCGTCGTTTACTCTCCAGATCTACCTACGCAAATTAATAACCTCAAAATTGTCTTTGACAGAATCCGCAATTTCAATCTGAAACTTCAACCAGATAAGTGCGAGTTTCTCCGAAAGGAAGTGGCTTATCTTGGCCACATCATTAGCGAAAATGGCGTTAAACCTAATCCCGACAAGACCAAAGCAGTGACAGAATTCCCAACACCCCAATCTCCGAAAGATGTAAAATCTTTCCTTGGTCTTGTCTCGTACTATAGAAGATTCATACCTGACTTTGCAAGACTAGCCAAACCCCTGACTTCTCTCCTAAAAAAGGACACGACATTTAAATGGCAGAATGAACAACAACTAGCTTTTGAGTCCTTGAAGAATAAACTTGTCTCTGCCCCTATTCTAGCCTACCCAGATTTTACACGACCCTTCCTTCTGACGTGTGATGCTTCAAATTACGCAATATCCGCAATACTATCACAAGGTCCTGTAGGACAAGATCGTCCTATTGCTTACGCGTCACGCACCCTCAATAAAGCGGAGTGCAATTATAGTGTAACCGAAAAAGAGTGCCTTGCCGTAATTTTCGGTACCAAGGTCTTTAGACCTTACCTGTACGGTTACCACTTTACCGTTCTCACAGATCACAAACCACTAGAATGGTTATTTAAATGCAAAGATCCAGGATCGCGACTTATCCGTTGGCGTCTAAAATTAGAGGAATTCGAATACGACATTAAATACAAAAAAGGAAAGATTAACACCAATGCAGACGCCCTTTCGCGATTCCCTGTTAACCCAGTCCAACCTGAAAATGCCCCTGCTTCTACTTCCAATGGCGAAGAACCTGCCCAAGAACTGGATCAAGACCTAATGGACCTGTTGGTATCTCCTCCATCATTCGACCCTGATGAAATAGATCTATCAGACCTCCTCGACCTGAATGAAGAGATCCTACCCCTACCTGAAATAGTTCCACCATCTCCAAATACTCGCGATCCAAACGAGGATTCCACACCATTACCCCAACCTGGAATAAGCCCATCTAATAATAACCCCGATGTACCCGAAAACGATACCGAACAACCAGCGTTGACTGTTCTCTCTTTTCCTATAATTTCAGACCTGTTGGGTATTCTATCGAGAATATCCTGTATAAAGGGATTAGATTCATCAAGATCTATAGAGGTAGGTAGGATAATGATTTTGCAATCAGATTTAGTTATGCTCTCGTTATGTTCTTGGATAAGGGTATTGAGATGCTTATCTCTTTTTTCTATAGCCTTTAAGAAGGCAGGATAGTCGTCGTCGGGTAAATCTAAGCAACCGTTTGTGGGTGGTGTCGGTACAACGATAGTTTGAGTGTCAGGAGTCGCGACTCCTGATACTCTGACNCCAAATTTTTGTCTTGTCAGGGACCACTTCATAATCGGTCAAAACCAGTTTGACTGCAAAAATCAGTTAAAAGTGGTTTTGACCAAGGTGTGCAAGTGCACATAGTGGACCGCTTGGAATGCCTCCAGGGACCACCAGTGGTCCGCGGACCACCGGTTAAGAACCACTGCTCTAGAGCGTCCCTTCCTCCACCATGGGTAAGAATGTTTCAAAAATACTGTCTAAGGTCTGTAGCTAAAGGTCTAAGCTGCAAGATAGAAGAATCTTCTAGCCAAAAAGATGGCAGATGCAGAAGATGTCAACGGATTTAAGACTGGACTGGCACCACCTTGCAATGTCATCCTCTCATTGTTATCTGTAATGTAAATTATTTTTAAAATGTATTTATAAAATAAAATGTTCGTTTTATTATTTCAATAATCTGACCTCTCAACTCAACTACACTACACAAACACCTTTGTTCGCAACTGTACTGACGAAACCTCGATATTCATGTTTCGGGACTCTGTATTAATATTTAAGATCCAAATGTACCAACATGATGCAATAAACATAATATGACTATGACTATGACTATTATACCGTTCATTTAAGATGGCAAGCTTTTTGCTGCGGTAATGCACTCCAGGTAACCGTGTGTGATGCTTATTGCTCATAGTGATTTTCGATACAGAGCCCCGTACATACGTTATACATAAATTATGGAAAGAAAACACCCAGACCAATACAAACAAATATGTATTTATTTATTTAAGGACAGCTAACAAGACATACTTACACAATTAACAGGAAAAAAACATAGAAAACAATACGTGTTTATAGTGTAGCCTTAATTAAAAGCTGCCACGACATTATGCAATTTTAGTATGATATTTTTATTTATTAATAAACAAAAAGACTGAAAAAAATTGATGCGTGTACTGATTAATGTAATTAACCACATGCAAAGCTTTGTGAATTTCAACAACTATAATTTATTATCCAAGCTCTAAATAATCGCTACTACGAGTAACATAGCTGATCATAAAATGTTTTTCCAATCGCTCAAGCTCCCGAAGATCTACCGATAAGTCGGGTGACGTAATCTTGAAATTCTTTTAGCCGGCGCGGAACTTCCGGAAGGTCGGGTGACGCCACGCCTCTTTGAACCGTGTTTACTTTGGCAGTTATATTCTATATTTATTCGATTCTAAAATATATTTCCAAAAATTTTGAAAGTTGTTTTAATTTGTATCACTTGGATATGATTTATATTAGAAAGTGCTGTGAGTGTGACGCTTGAACGGAAGGAAGTCAACCTAACCTAACCAACTGCGTATTTCTATACTGTGTAGCCGCGAGAGCTCTTTGGCGCGCTGTCTTCGGCGAAGTATTGCGCGCGCAGATTTTGACAGCGCGAAATACCTACTTTAGCAGAAATACCAAGCCTTAACTACTTATCAAAGTGTGGATTTGTGTATTACTGCAATATTATGCGAACCGGCTGCTGTCGTCAGACTACACGCTAAATATGAAGTTATTACCGTACCGTCAATATTAACTGAGGTACCAACTGCAAGCCTAAACAGTAACTCCACTCCTTTTTCTGATAAGACCAATGGTTTACTGAGAGAATAAAATGTAGTTAATAAAATGCATGTAGATAATTAAAGTTGTAATGTTCTATGTTACGATCGTAGAAATGAAAAATAAAAGAACTCGAAATAATTAGGACGAAAACTAGTCAGACTCGTCTACATACGGTTTTAAGAAACTATGTCTCCTCGTAGAACTTCTGACTGTTAGGGAAGACAATTTCTCGAGTGGCGATCACGGGCCGGAAGACATAGTGTGGGCAGGAGGCCTCCCACTAGGTGGACCAACGATTTGGTGAAGGACGCAGAGAGCACTTGGATGCGGGCAGCGTAGGGCCGGTCTTTATGGATATCCTTGGGGGAGGTGGCAGTGGATGTTATTTTGTTGAAACGAATGAATGAAGGAATTTCTTCAGCGACTGCTACTGGTGGTTCTACTGTGCCTAAATTTGAATTATGTTAATTAGAAAGCTAATTAGTCATTCGAGGCCGTGTGTTTATGCGGGTTGACGCCGAAGGCTTAATTGAATCAATCATCATTAGTGTAATCACCTGAAATGATAGCTTCAGTTTTGTAATGATGCTTTAGAATCATTTATGAATACCGTATTCAACCGTATCATGAATCTTTAAGGCTCCAGCCTTGGTTAAGTATTGAATATTCAATAATCAAAAGCTTGAATTAATGCTTGAGATTGCTTAAAGGTTTGAGTCAGAATTAGAAATGAGTAACCTAGCTCAGGTGGGTCCTACTAGGTGGACCGACGATCTGGTAATGGTCGCGGGTGGAACCTGGATGCTGGCAGCGCAGGACCGTTAATTATGGAAAGCCTTGGGGGAGGCCTTTGACCAGCTGTGGACGTCATTTGGCTGAAACGAGGTACCTAGCTCAGGCATCAGTCTCACACACTCTTTAGGCACCATTTATATTTTTATTCCGTAATATAAGTTGCTACCGCTCTCTTCAACAATGACTTCTGCAAAATAACATCGTCATGTTCTGGGTTCTACTGCCTCAGAGCATGACACATGCTGAGCGGTGGCCATTTTTGGTTCTATAACTCCCTTTAATCCATCTGTGTAATTGTAATTTCTTATTTGTGTTCGAACCAAAATAAATATCTTTTTTGATAAGAAAATAAACGTAATATTATTATTATTAATCAAGCTTGTGAAATTGTTTTAATGCAGCGTTTTATTAGGCAGTTCGCATGTTCGTTTGTCAAATTAAATCAGAGCTCCTAGTTAGGGATGTGACATTCGACTAAATACCTATACAAATCGAATGACATAATAATCGATTACTTTGTTCACAAATCAGTTAAGAAACAATCGATATCATTATTTACAAAGACGTAGACGTAACAGTAGAACCGATTTTGCATACAACTTACTTTTACATTAATTTGTGTTCTAAGAATGTTAATCTTGTTGCTTAACCTTACTAAACGTATTTTAAATTTCGTGTACACATATTATTTGTAAATGTAGATTAGAAATGTAGATAAATAAGTACATTTCTAAAATTATTACTTACCGAATATGAATTAATTTTGTTTCTAACCGCCAATCTGGAAGGAAAGCACTGAGGAGGCCTACAGTTGACGTCCGGTGGCTAAACGATGATGATGATATTTATTTGTAAAATATTGTTCGATTAAAAAAATCATAATCGATTGTATATTCGCATCCCTCACAAGAAGTTTTCCGTGTTTATGATTCCGCCCGAGTTCGGAGTTCCTAACTAATCCACCATCCTTGTAAGTGAGAACTTTCCGAGGCGGATGATGAAGGATTTTCATAATTCTGATTTCAGGTTCCATAATACGTACCTACACCTACACGAATACTCGCTAAAGCCAGCTCTACATAATCGGATATGATCGTTAATCGTGTGTAATCGGCACAATGGAGTATAGTGGTTCCCATTTGGTCTATGAAATATGAATTTTCAAACGAAATGAAGGCGATTAAACTTACCCACCTTACGGCATGGTGGCATATTAAAACTACTTGCAGTAATAGACAGGATTTTAGACACTGGGTTTTATTTGGTTGCGATCGTAATCATGGCTTTTTCTGTAATAAAAAAGCTGGAAAACGTGACTGAGTTTCATCTGCCCCACTTCTCAGAGAGATTATTGTCCCGAAGTGGTGGTAGCTACATTGGGACGTGTACTCCATAGTAAATAAGAATTATTAGCAGTGATGTACTCGTAAGTATCAAAATTCTATCAATCTGTGCTTAGGAATTTGATTTACAATTTTACTGGCAACCTTTAAAAATATACTTACTCAATAGGTATGTTTAACTCTTCATATTATTAGTATCAATAAAATTCAGTCTCGAACGATGATTCGTAAATACCAAATACAATTGGTTGTTGATTTGAATTTTCCATTGAAAACAACAATATTTATTTGTTCTGATTAAACGATGAGATTTATCAACATTGATAATCATATTTGATGTATTGTTTCTTTCATTTTACATTCAATTTGCATATTCATTCAATTTCAAGAGAGTCAATAATTTTATTTATTCAAAGTCGAGTATCTCTCGGCTTGCACATCAGATTATAGATTTTTGTTACAAAATAGTGGGATTACAACCAAACAAGATAGAATGAGAATGTTTTTAAAATAATGTACGCCCGTACTTATTCACAAACGATGCTTGCTTAAGTGAAGCAGCAAATCGAACACACAGCGTTGAATAATGCTCTGTGATTGGTTCGTATGTCACCCTTTGCGTCCACGCGCACTGTGAGACCTCATAGTAATGTTTGTGTGTTTGTTTCGCTACGGCTATCTCAGACTTATCTCCCCTTCTCAACTACGTTACATTCCCAATCTCATAGAAGATCCTTGATTACTTAGGCTGAGTTGCACCACCTAACTTTGACCGTAACTAGTATAACGAACCGGTGTTGTTAGTATGGAATTATACAGATTTTTGGCGTTTGTCAAAGTCAAAGCAGAGTAAATAAAAATGAGTAGTTCATCTTCATAGAAACGCACCGAGCGCGGTTTGTATGTGAGCGCGCCAATACGTATGCGGCGCGCACGCACACACTGACAAAATTTAGTGTGGATTAGCGGGGTGTAGCGCCGAATTCGTTTCTAGTTTCTATGAAGATGACCTACTCATTTGTATTTACTCTGGTTAAAGTAAGATGGTGCAACACAGCCTTTAGTCTAATTCAATGATTAAATATTAAACAATCGTCAGCCTGATTACACCGAACCGCGTACATGATGGAATTAGTTTTGGCAAACTTGTCCCATTATTTTAGCCCACACGCCGTTCATTCATTAACATTATGCGATATTCCGAATCCACTTATGAACAACTGCATATAGTCAATGGAGATGGGGTTTATACCGACCGACTTATAACACTTACTAACTTTTGCCCGGGGATTCACCGCGTAAAATCGATAAAATGCCTCGATAAACTTTTATCACGGCGTGCATCCTATGTCTACTGGGTAAACTGGTGTGGTTTCCAGATGATACACAACACTTTTGGTGACATTAGCCCAAGAGTTAAGACATCGGAATCGGAGCCATCCAGCCAGATGCACGTCGACCGCTGTACTATTGTGGCAAACCTACTCCTAACACAAGCATTATATTAAACTTTCCTGGAGGAAAATAAGTACTGAAAAAGTATCACAATTGAATATAAATTTTATTGGCTTCGATAGAGATATCTGAGATAGCCTTAAAGCCTGACATCAGCTTATTGGAAATATGATATTCCCTCTTATCAAGGATTATTAAGGTCTATTTTGTATTATTAAAGCCTATTTTGGAAGATAACAGAATTAAAATTTATTGGTCTGTACTGGACAAATTTCCTACCTTTTATTTCAAAAAATAATGAAAGCACGTGAACTAATCGCACAATGTAAATCACACTTAATGTATAAATAACTTACTCATACGCTCATCAATCATGGCTTTTCATACTAGAACCTCCCCCCTTTGACAAAATTGGGCATAAAATGAAAATTGACACGTACGCACATGTATATAGAGTTATAATTGCTTTGGCAGATGTTTGTCGGATATTTATCGGTCCACAATTTCGTTTTGGCAACTTTGTAAAGTGATTACCACCGAGCGTTTTACACGGTTATGGAGTGAACCGTTTTGTTGGGATGAAAATACATTGTGGAAAACCGGGGATTCCCATAATGTTATTACGGGCTTTCTTGGAATAAACGCCTGCAGTAGTTTTACAAATATTGAAAAGAAACAAGGATTTTTAGACACTCTTAGGTTGGGTTGCACCAACTTACTTTAACCGTAACATAACAATAAACGGTGTTTTGTGAATGGATTTTGACAGATTTTTGAAGTTTGTGAAAGTTAAAAGATGGTGCAACTCAGCCTTACTTGTTGGTTATGGTAAGTTATACATAGGTACTTTTAACATACTACGACGAAGCAAAAAGGAAGGGTTATGATTTTAGCAGTGAATATACTAGAAAACCCTTTATAATTTCAGACAAAAATCAAAATCAAAATCAAATAAGTTTATTTGCAGAACAAAATGTCATGATAATACAGGTATACAGTACAGGACAGTAACCTAATTAAGACAATACCACATTACCAATGCATTTTACCGACAGAAACTGTATTATTACAGTTTCTGTCGGTAAAATGCATTGGTATATTGGTATTTATATTTTTATTAGCGTCTAGTTTCTTTATTATTAAAGAAACTAGACGCTAATAAAAATATAAATAACTGTTCCTAACTATTACCTAAAGATTATAACTACTTAAATATGTAGGTAGTAGGTAAGTGTTAAAATTTCATTTCAGCGAATCGAAAACAGCTAGAATTTCAAGTCTGCCTACCGACATTTCAGGCGCCTATGAATTCTACAAACTCTATAATTTAATACTCCTGCCATTCCAGACCTGAGATTTAAAGTAAATACTTGGCAAAACAATTCTAAGCAGGCCGGTGCAAATTCTATAATACAGCGGCTCGGTTTCTGGGCTAAATATTACAGAAGCCCGTCAAGGTGTTGCATTTGATGAGGGTTGAGACTACACACGGATATAGAGTTGAGCAAGAAAGGTAATTATAATATTATGTTTCCTTCCTTTTGTACCCTTTGCACCACCGGCCTGCACCACTGGTGGTGCAAAGGGTATTTTTTAATCCCTTTTGCACCACCAATAGTGCCGCCCTAGCATTAACTGTATAACGATTATCTATAATAATATAATATTTTAATATTATAAAGATGAAAGATTTGTTTGTTTGTTTGTTTGTACTGAATAGGCTCCGAAACTACTGGACAGATTTGACAACATAACATAAAAATTAATAACAACCATTCATACCTACATAAAGTACCAGGGCAACATAATCATAAAGGAGCTATATCAAATTCTTCTTGGTTGACCCGAAAAATAAACATGTATCATAAAATAGCTCCTTTGGTTATGTTGCCCTGGTACCTACCTACTTCATTCGTTGTATGTAGGATATAGGCCCGGGGTATCGTGGGTCTGAAGTGAAATGATGACATCCACTGCTGGACAAAGGCTTCCCCCAAGGATCAACAACGATCGGTCCTGCGCCGCTCGCATACAGGCACCTCCCGCGAACTTCACCAGATCGTCGATCCACCTAGCCCGTCTTCCAGCCCGTTGCACGTCTTAATTACGTATAGTATAAAAATGTACGATAAAGAGAAAACTAAATAGGTAAATGCCAATCAGCCAAGTCGATTTCGAGCGCCAAGAGTCTCTAGACTAGTACATCTCTTTCTTTCTCATACTTCCTCCTCCTCTCGCATATTTTTGACACCTTACATTTAGCGAATGTCAACAGAAAGAAATCTACGAGAATATTTTTCAATTCGTTTGGGAGCTACATAAATAATGTTTTCAGAGTTACGAGTACAGGAGACTGATGTAACTAACCAAGCGTGGTTGATAATTTACCGGGACAAACTTGACTTAATTTTACTGGTTGGATTTTTATTGGCGGTCAAGCAGTGGAGTTGGGATGGGAATAGTCACGATTAAAATGTCCTACAGTTTTGAAGCACGATTTTAGATGGTGAAAATCACTAATTAAATTGATATTTGTTTGTCGAAAACTTAGATAGAGATAGCAGACTTCTAATTCAACAATATGGACACATTATTATGAATTTTATATGTATGTTGGAAGAAACCGTGTGTACGGCACAGTCTAAAGATAACACGCTGTGATGAGATAGAGCCGACTAGCTGTATGTAAATAAACCATTCGTGATGTTCATTACTGGGCTAATTACTGTACCTAGACTGTGCCCCAGGCACAATACGTCATCGCCAGGCTCACCCAGTATGCTAATGTGTTGATAGAACTTGCTTGAAATAGCTCTTGTATTAGTTCAGCCTAGTATGAGCCTAGTCCACTATTCTTTGTGCCACCATAGACCACTAGATGGATAAGTAAAACTAAGTAAGTAATGGTATAAACTCGTTTTTGGTTCCTTAAACATTATGATCGATGATGAATAAAAAATGACAACAAAATTTGACTTATGCCATCTCGATTTCACAAAAAACATCAGCAAAATAAATCGGTGTTTAGATTACTTTTATCCAAAATAGATTATAATTATTATGTTTTAAAAACTTTTGATTCACAATATGACGCGAGCATTAGCGAAACTAAACTTGCATAAAGAGGTAGATTTATTTTTATGTAAGCGCACTTTTGCAGCTAAAAAAGAAGAGCCGAAGAAAGCCACTGTTCCACAGAAGACTGTTGATCCACGGAGGGTGTTCAGGGTCTACCGGTACGGTGGGATCTTATCCAAAGAGGAACCAAAACTCCAGAGTTTCGAACTGGATGTCAGCACTTGCGGCAAAATGGTTCTCGACGCCCTCATCAAACTGAAAGACATGGACCCATCCTTGACCTTCAGAAGGTCATGTCGCGAAGGCATCTGTGGTTCCTGTGCTATAAACTTACAGGGCATAAATAAACTAGCTTGCATAACACAAATACCTCCTGATAAGACCGTCACAATCCACCCTATACCTCATATGTACATTATCAGAGACCTGGTGGCGGATATGACCCATTTCTTCAAAGGGTACGACAGCATTCGGCCGTATCTGATCAGGAAGAACGAAACGCCGCTTGGTAAAGTGCAGTTCGCTCAGAGCATCAATGATAACGTGAAGATGAATGGGCTCTACGAGTGCGTACTTTGTTCTTGCTGCTCGACGTCTTGCCCTAGCTACTGGTGGAATGGAAGACGGTTTCTGGGCCCTGCTTCATTGCTGCACGCTTACCGGTGGGTGATAGACTCCAGAGACGAAGACACGGAACAGAGGCTATACGATTTACGCGATGACTTCAAAGCATTCAGGTGCCACACTATCATGCAATGTAACCTGGCGTGCCCTAAGGGCCTGACACCAGCATTCGCAATAGCCAAACTTAAGAGACTGATATCGAAACTAGAGAAGAAACCGCGTCCTGAGTTAGATCCTATGAAACTTTCGTCCGGCAGTGGGTGTGTGAAGTGATGGCGATCAAATTCATATCATTGTGTTATTAAAGTATTGTATTGTATCTAAATGTCTTTTCTATTATGTAATAATAATTACAAAGAGTAGAGTCTGAGGTTATATACCTACTTTGATTTGTTAATGCTAGTGAGTGTATAGGTTATGTATTCTGTGGCATAGAGATCTACGAGTAAATGACATTATTTACGATTTAAATGGGGATGTTTTTAACAAAATATGCAAAGAAGTTTTCTTTCAGAGTTCCCTCTTAAGCTAGTATTTAGGTATGCAGACCAGAATGTGTACATATTAATTCTAAACCTAACGTCTTTTAAGAAATTATATGGGCCCACCAAGGAATTGAACCAGGATCAAGAGAGTCTCACTATGGAGGCTTTACTCATAAAGGGCAAGAGCTATCGACTATCGATTATCTCTCGATATACCTACAACTACAACACTATTGGAAATTCAAACTATCCTAAGGCTGAATAAATAAAAGAGTTCTGTGGGACTCTAAGACAACTACTCCTTCACCTGCCCAACTAATGGAAAAACTAAGTTTATTTCTAAAGGAAACACAACTTGTGTCCCCAGCCAAAGATAGTAAAGTAAAGCCGTAGTATATTCGTAGACTTAGGTAGGGGAGACCGAGGAGAATTGTGATATTGTCGATTTTTTGGAACTTATTATCCACTAGCGAGCTCAACAGTGCACGTTTTTTAGTTCAAGTCTCGAGCTAACAAATAGGTACGTGCTGTTGCGAGATCGCTGATAGTTAGGCCTTGTCCAGTAGGCCTAAGATGCGCACCGCGATAAGCGGTTATCACGCCATTTTATCGATTTTCCCCATACATTTTGACGTCGATAAAAGTTATCACGGCGCGCATCTTAGGCCTACAGGAGGACGAATTCACCGCGAATCCTACGCGCGTAGAATCATACGCGCGTTGGCGGACACGCAGCTAATACATTGCGTGAGACCAATTTGGTACAACAATTTTATTATATTTGCTTTATGTCAATTTGTATGATTCTATTTTTAGTACCAAATAAATATTTTTTCTTCTTCTTCTCCTTCTTAGTAGATTAAAACTGACAATAGCATGTCTGCGACTTTGTTCGTTATAGAAGCTCTCGTAATTTACTTTCGTCGGCATGTTTAGAGTTATGGTGATAGATGAGTTATATTTATATCTCTATAAAATAGTATACAAAGATATAATTTTAATCAAGTTATTTGAAGTTACAGAACATTAAATGTGGAAGTTCATGTCGCTTATTTTGCCTACACCATTGATCAAACAATTAATAATTAGTTTCAGTCAAATGACGTCCACTGCTGGACAAAGGCCTCCCCCAAGGTTTTCCACAATGAACGGTCCTGCGCTGCCCGCATCCAGGCTCTTCCCGCGACCTTTACCAGATCGTCGGTCCACCTAGTAGGAGGCCTGCCCAAAATTACATCATTAAATTAATATTCTGCCTTTGTTTGTAGCATGCGTGTTTCTGTAACAGTCCCAAAATATCGTATAAAACCGAGGGCAGAAGTTAGTCTCATAAATCCACAATTTCTAACGCAGCACTCTCGAATGCGTACATCAGAATGGCGGCCACTCGTAATTGTAATGGATTGCATAGTCCACGCGAGTTATCACTCATTCGGTTCCACCACTGCCCGTAACTATGTAGGTAAATAACTATACCTAGTAGGCATAGGTTAAGTGAAACAGCCAGCTCAATGCATTCAAGTGAAGCTCGCCTTGTGTGTAGGTAGGGATTTTCGTTTTTGCAAAAAAAAAAAAAATAATACAAACACTTGAATATACGAGTTGAACCTCTTCCTTTTTGAAGTCGGTTAATGACGTCCACTGCTAGACAAAGGCTTCCCCCAAGGTATTCACAATGAATGATCGTGAGTAGCCCGTATCCAGGTGGTTCTCGCATCCTTCACCAGATCGTCGGTCCACCTAGTGGAAGGACATTATGTCTTTCGGCCCTAGCTAGTCACAATAGTGACAAGATGCAACGACATATTAATGTCTGTGCTGATACCTACGGTATTTGGAACTGACTGGCCCTATACGCTGTCCGTATAGGGCCAGTCCGTCCGTCCAGACTCTCAGAATCTTCATCAGGCCGTCGGTAAACCTGTTTTTATTACGTCGTTCGGTTCGGTTTTAGATCATGTTTAAAATAAGTGTAGGTATAAATTGATTATCAAGCTCATAAAGGTAGCAGGATGGCTCTGGAAGCAAGCCGCTGCCAATCGGTCATTATTGAAGTCATTGGGGGAGGCCTATATCAAGCAGTGGACGTCCTATGGCTGAAATGATGATGATGACGATGATGATGATGATCTTCTTGTCGTGTCGACAACAAACCTACACAATGTCAGCCCAAAACTCTGCTACAAGAGTGGCGTTGTCAGTAGCATTCATTCCTCCTGCGTGCAGTTGTTTGGGCACGTAGAGCATGTGATGATGATGATGATGATGGTAAATTGATTTGGCTGTTCTACCTTGACTATGGTATCCAGCAAAAAGGCCCAACGCCAATTCTCTATTCAATTTGCATACGCAACAGCAGGGTTCACGCTTACATTGAATTCAGCTGAATAGCTTTCTCTATGTTGAGCCGTTTATTCTATTTAACGTGGAATACAATAGTAGACAGTAGCTCGGTAGCCATTGTTTTTGCACATGACTTGGGTCTTGATTACGAAGACAATTAGTTTTCAAGAACGGTAGACCGAGCGAAAAAATGGCGAAGATAGTTTTTTTAATTAGGTATATCTACTGGCGACTAAATTAATTAATCTTACTATCAAAAAATGAAATGAAAGAATTTATTTCTGAAAAATACAATTCCATATCTTTCAAATCTAATAAAATCCAGACTTAAAATTGACTAATCCAGTCCTTTCTAGACCCAACCTCAACCTCCTCAACCTCCACCCTGTGTGTTCACGCGCACTGTGAGACCTCATAGTAATGTTTGTGAATACGGGCGTTATTCATATTCTACCATCCTATAGTGTAAATTGTAACAATGAGATTGAAACCGAGTACCAGTGTCAGACGAGTTGCCATGGTGTCTGACATAGCTTAATAGAATCGACGGCTTATTAACCCGTGAAGCACAGAATAATGTTTCTTTTATCATACAAAATTCCTGATTTTTACTTCCTAATTTTATTTAAAAATTTAACAAGTTACCACTGTGTTAAAAAGAATTCGAGCTGTGCAAATGCAAGAGAGAAACCGTTGTAAAAAGTTACTAATTTAACTAACAGGGTATTGTTAACAAACTACCGCTCTGTAACATACAGGGAATTTCTTTCAAAAACACTGAAAAACTCTGTTGTTTCAGTTCTGTGTTGAAAGATAGTAAAAATATGCGATGCGCCCAACTTTTGAGAATGCAGCGAACTGTTGGTGGTATTTTTAAAGGCTTTCCGTCATAACAGTACGCTGGGCATTTCTCAGCGTTTTAAATAAAAATGTGCTCTATTTTCTCTATCATGAAATTGACCGACAAAAATGCCTTCTTTGCCCAAAGAAAACAACTAGGTAGAGGTAATAACATAAAAAAACATGTAGTTATACAATAAATGTTTGTTTTACACCTAAACATTAGAAGAACTAAACTGGCTTGTAGTTCAGTTCAAACTATAACCATCACTATCATCTATTGACATTTAATACCAGAAGAATTGCTCTAATATTGCATAGAGCGGGAATCGAACCCGCGACCTCTATTAGACTGGTAGAGTCACCACGTCAAATCAGCCTTCAAGAGGGTTCCTGTCGCCAGATTAAGTTTCAGTATGATATATGACGATGCATCAATCAATTACCGCACAATATTGCGCCATGTTGAAGTGTAAACAATATAGGGTGTAAAGTAAATATTATTGAGAGGGGAGACCGTGCCGAAAGTAGGTCAGACTGTAAATGTGTCATAGTGTAAATACTTGACACAATACGTGTGGATGTTTACCGTGATAAGGCCACGGCCACACTTACTCTGGGCATTGTGGCGTCGAAAGATGCGATATTCGATATAATAATGTTAAATTTTTAGCGACTTTGACGCAAATGTAGTGCATTCTTTTGATCGCGTGGCTTAGTATCTGAGCGAGTTTTCATAACGGCTTGCCTTCTGAAAAAATTGAATTATATCTTTTTAAAGACAACCAATTTGATTCAAACCCGTAATATGAAATTGATCGTATGAAATACCAATGTATGTTTTTAAATTACAGCTCACTTACACCCTTTTTGTTCTTTTCACGCTTTTCTGCAATAAAAAGCTCTAATTTGGTAGCGCATCATCATTATCATTTCAGTCATAGGACGTCCACTGCTGAACAAAGGCCTCCCCCAATGATTTCCATGTTGATCGATTGGTAGCGGCCTGCGTCCAGCGCCTTCCTGCTACATTTATGATGGCGCCTCGAGGTGTTACAATGGCGAACAGCGCTTGGTGTGGCCTTGCCCTTATACACATTATATTGACATAGTAGTGTTATTCTACCGACAGTCAACGCTATATGTAATTCCCTAATATAATAAATTTCCTTGCTCGTTCGGTAAAGAAACACTTCAATGTAAGTTTGTTTAAACATTTGTACAATAGTATTATTTTACCCTACATTCTGAAATATGACGAGAAAGAGTATTGAGAAATGAATGAGAAATATAACTGAGAAATAACTAAAGGAAAAAAAGTAAAAAAAACCGCCACTATATTTTTGAACAATTTGTGTCCACTACTTTTGCTTTCTGTCACATGACTTCATTTCGAATTTTATCCCTTAAAGACATCATAAATAAAATTGTCTTTTCTATAACTCGTGAAAACCTAAAATACGATCAAATATAAATTATACATAAATCTTTTTAACTTTAAAGGTTTTAATAAAAAAAAAAATTCAATATCGTTTAATCAATTGAACTTTAAAGGCAATATTTGAAAAAATGTTCCAATATCGTCCGTGAAAAGTTTTAATGAAAAGGCTTGTAATATAAATATCGTTTATTTGACGCGGAGAACTGTGGAGTCAGGTGACTATATTATGGTAGCTAGTGGAAAATTAAAGTCTATTGAATATTGTTGCTACTTCAAAAGATACTCTATAGAACGGAAAATATCAACACAGGCAGTGGAATGGAAGAATAATAAAAATCTCTTTACATTGAGCGCTGACTCTATTTGTATGCGTATCTAATAATATAAAGCAAATAGCTAAGATAAAAGTATTTAAAAACTTATCTAAGGTTCAAGCGAATAAAGTTAAATCTCTTCATTCTTAAACTAACTGGACAATTAAAACAGGAGATACCTAGATAGGTATCTCCTGTTTTAATTGTCCAGTTAGTTTAAGAATGAAGAGATTTAACTTTATTCGCTTGAAATAAAGTTCAACGTCTATCAAAATTGTTTACATTCTTGTGCTGATTATAGTCGCCACCAGCACATCAATCTACCACATTGTTATGATTTTCTCAATCGATTTTGAACCTTAACTTATTAAGATAAAGTCCATTTTGTCTTAGCAGGTAGTACTTGCGCACAAAGGCTTTTTTCGCCTACCCCCTAACGTATTGGGGTATTCACCTTGCCGAGTTAACCTATCCAACTTAGATAAGCGTTATTTATGGGTTAAGATATCTTCTAACAGTCGTCTTCTTCAATGAAAGAAATATGGACCCTGTGGCATCTTATCGATTTTTGGGAACATTGCTCTTTTTGCTGTACCTATATGTATTTAGAGATACTGAAAAATGTAATTCAGTATTAGCTATTTACGTTTTAAATAAAATGTTAGACTTTCGTTCGTTCTGTTATNCAGGATACACCTCTTAGTTTAAAAGTTATTACGATTTCTTTAAAATAAGTAATTGGAAGAAAAAAAAATCTATAATAAATTAAAAAAAAATCTCAAAAAAAATTTGACCTATTTTTTGTCGACAAAAATAGGTCTAGTTTCACCTATTTTCATATGTACACTTTAACGTGACTCACACTGTATATATAATATAGATAAAATAGTTACTTACCCTTAGGTAATTAATAATTGTAAAATTATTATTTGCAGTTCAGCTCAAGGTCAATCTCACCAAGATTTCATCCAGCCGATTACCTCAAGTTCAGGCGTCTACTATGATTACCTAGGCAGACTTAAGATAAATAATGGACAGCTGAAAATTGTAATACCGGTAGATATCGCGCATTTTAGGCCACATATGCAAAATATTGAAACTGTTTTCGAAACAACGAAACGATTATGTAATCAAACCCGAATTATAGAAATTGATGCAGAGTGCCGTAACTCATTGCAACCATTAGCAGCCCAATTGCAAGAAATGAAAAGAGAGTATGCGTCCATCTCTCACCTAGTAGACAATAGAACCAAACGTAGTGCATGGATAGGAGGTATAGGGACACTTTTGAAACAGATCTTCGGCTCCTTAGACGAAGATGATGGTTTGAGGTACGATGAAGCAATAGCATCATTGCAAAACAACGAAAAGAAGTTAGCCTCGCTTATGAAAGAGAATATCCTGATCACCAGTTCTACTTTAAAATATTATAATAACACCCTACATAAGATAAAAAGCAATGAAGCTAGCCTTGCTGAAGCTATCGACAAGCTCTCTACAAATATAAAAAACATAACTGAAATCACTAATGGACTACAAATACGCGCTAGTGTAAATGAAATACTTAGTATCCTAGAAACGTCAATACTTACCTTGTCATTCCAGCTTGAAGACATAACTAATGCCATTCTATTCAGCAGTCAAAACATCCTACACCCCGCGATAATAACACCAAGTCAATTACATCAAGAGCTTGCCGATAACTACAGGCATTTGCCTGGCGACCTTGAACTGCCTGTAACATTAGACATTAATTCTGTATATCTTATTTTTAACATTTCTAAGTTAGTATGTTATTACTTTAAGGATAAGATCATATTTGTGTTGCAAGTACCGTTAGTTAACACCAAAGAATATGTATTATTTCATACTATTGCACTTCCTACACCATATGAACCCAAGGAACCGAACTCTTTTAGCCTGATCATACCTGATCATAAATACATTGCAATGACCAAAGACAAATCTCATTATTGTACTTTTGACAACCTGAAAATCTGCAAATCCGTAGGCTCAGAAGACTTTGTATGTAATATCGAAAACCTGTATTCCACAGAGGCAAGGACGACCTGCCAAAGTGAATTATTAGCGAAAGTAATTAATAAAAAACCAGTACAGTGTGAATCTAAAATTATATTTGGAAAATTGGACATTTGGAAACCATTGTCAAATAACAAGTGGATCTTTATACAATCAGAACCTAACAAGATTTCAATAGACTGTCATAATGCAGAATTATATGAAACAAGTATTATTGGTACAGGCTTAGTCAGTATCCCCAAGGATTGCATTGGCTATTGTAAAAGCACGACGCTAATTCCAAAATACAATGTTTTAAATATCACATCACCAATCAATCACGTGCCAGATTTTAATTTGATCAACGATACTTGTTGTAACATAAATAAATTAAATGATGTAAGGGATAATGTGTCCCCTATCCACCTACATGACATAGATTTAGACGATTTTAATTCCGAAAACAAAAATAAAATAAAATCTCTTCTAGACGACTTAAAAAGCATCGAACACCCGCCAAATCCACATATTGTTAAATATGGGACACACTATTCCATTATCATAATCCTAATGTTTATTGCTATAATTGCTACATTATGTTATTGTACCACTAAGCGACTATTTTGTAAATCCGGAAGCAATCGTCCCTTTAAATTTAAAATCAACCTAAATAGACCTTCATCCCAAACACCCCCCGAAACAATAGACAGTACAGACAGACAGGACCCTAACAATTTTGATATAGAAATGACCAGCCCTGTTGCCCCGCTCAGAACCAAAATTTAACAGAGACTTGGAGTCTTCAACCCCAAGTCTCCTCTAGAAGGGGGAGGTGTTATGCCCTGGCCGCCCATCCCGCCATGTCAGCAGTTTGGGATCCAAAGCCATGTCTCTCAGCCTTTCGAGTAGTCAGTCCGTGCTCAGATCCCATAGTCGGCGGTTGCTCCTGGATAATTAATCCGAATTCAAGTTCTAATTAAAAGAAGTTTTTTTTAAAAAGTTAATTTCAATTCCCCGCGTAACAGAATGCTAGGCGCCCGCGGTCGCCGCCATCTCTTATATTAGCTCGGTCCGTGCGGCGTGCGGCCGCGCAGCCGTAGGGTTGTCAAAATCTCTGCGCTCGGTGCTAGGGCTGTCGATGCGTCGCGGGGCGCGTCACATCCTCCCTTGTTTTGGAGATTTTTACCTGGAAAAATCACAAGTCTGGTACATAAAGGTTCTTAAAGCACAACTAAAAGTCATGTCAATAATAAGTTATTTTTGGGTAACTTCATAACGAGTGGAAAACAACAATGTAAAACATGACTGAATTTGTATTTAATCATTAGCCCAATAATAACTCTTTATTTAGAACATGACAGTACATTCATTTACTTATAGCAATATCAGTTAATTTGGTCTTGAAACAATGTTATTAAGGTACCCTTAATTTTTTTTTTGCTTACAATGAACTAAATCAAACGCTAATTATAGCTAACTTAGTTTTGAAACAATGTTATTAAGATACCTTTAATTTTTTTGCTTACAATGAACTAATTAAACGCTAATTATTATATGATCAAACGAACTTACCAAGTGAAGTTCGATCTCAATTATCCTGTTTTCGCCGAAGAGATTTATTTTACCATGTAGTACCCCTGTACGACAAGCCAATCCGCACACAATATTCAGCGCAGTAGTAGTAAAAAACAAAAGAGCGGGCAACCCCACCCCTACCACGCTGTGGGCTCGGTGTCCGAGCGGTCTCATTATATTTAGAGAAGAGATGACATTGACGTTTACCTCTAGGGAAGAAGATATAGAAATCTTCGGGNACGTTCGCCAATTACTCCGCTCGCGTCGAAAAAAAAAATGAAGTCGCCCGAAAAAAAATGAAGTCGTCGAAAAAATGAAGTCGCGGAGAAACGAAAATTGCGCACCGACACAAATAATGCGGCGCAAACAACACGGCAATAAAGATTTATGGCTTGGATTTTTTACGGAGAGTTTGGGGGGCTGGGGAGAGGAGGCAGCGGAAATCCATTTATTTCTCTCATAGTGAACAATATCACAAGATTCACAAGTCAACTTTGAGAAAAAATAGATAAGTGTTTAATTTATTTTCAATTAATTATTATAACATTCATACTTTCAATTTATTATCAGTAAATATAGAGCGATCATCACCTGATCGTCGGTCCACCTAGTGGGAGGCCTGCCCACGGTACGTCTTCCGGCCCGTTCGCGGGAAGAACCTGGATGCGGGCAGCTCAGGACCGGTTGTTGGGTAAACACTTTGGGGAGGCCTTTGTCCAGCAGTGGACGTCATATGGCTGAAATATAGAGATAATTATTGATTTCTATATGTATTACTTTTTGTGATGACTTACTTGACTTATGGTCCTATGTCCCCTAGATGGGGCAGAGGGCGTCCACAACAGTCCTCCATCTCGTTCGGTCTTGAGCTTCTCGCATGATCTCGCTCAAGGTCTTGCCGATCTTCTTCGCCTCGTCCGCTACAGTGCGCCGCCAAGTTTGCCTGGGTCGACCACGTTTATTACTTTTTGTGATGAGTTAAAATAAACTTGCACGCGTGATCGTATAGTGACATGCGTTCTTATTAATTTGTGTCGCTTGCAACTTCGAGATCGCTTCGCCATGTAAATCTATCATGTAATTTAATCTGTCACGTACCTATTTTACTTTCTTATCGTGGGAAGATGCGAATATGATTAAGTTGATATTTTATGTATGATACGTATGCTCAAAATTAGTTTAAAATATATAGTAATATTTAAGAATGTCTCTACCTATTTTATGGGTAGACAACTCAATGAATGATAGTTTTACTTATTCAAGAAAGAAGACTTATGCCCGTTTTCACCATCAATCCCAAATTTTTAAGCGACCCCTATGAAAACAAAATGCCCGATATGTGTTACCACAGTGGTCACTTAAAAATTAGGGATTGGTGCAGGTGAAAATGGGCATAATTCAGTAAATATTTTTATTATTACTTCACGTTTGTTTCACAAAAAAAAATCAAAATAAATAGTTATTTTATTTAACTAGTCTTTCTCTCAATTTGACCCACCAAACGCTGTAAGCTTATAACTCAAAGCTCTAAAGCGCTGGTAATGAACTGACGAAGCCGGCAGGCGTCACCATGGCAATGATTTGGGAAGGATCGCCCAAATTGTGATATGTTTGATTGAAGTTATAACGTCTGGGCGTAGCGTAGGGCGCACGATGTTCTGATTATTTTCCCTTTGAACTTGAATATTGCTACACTAAAAAGGAACCTATTAGTTTAGACAGAGGCATCCTTTTCAAGTCAAACTGTGATGATAGTGAACGTTACCAAATTACTTAAAAAAAAAAAATTGTTGTCCCGAAAACAATGAAAAAACCTATGTGGTTAGTAAAGTTTCAACGAGTCCGTTCCTAGAACTTCCTCCTTTTTTGAAGTCGGTTAAAACCCAGAGTTGTACTCAATTCCTTATTATAAATACAACTCCTTATTATAAAAACAATGGATGGAGATACAAAAATACCTGTAACATCTACTTGTAATACCCATATTCGCAAATTAAATATATTTGAATTTGAACTCATAATAGCTAGTTTTTTTGAAAAAATTCAACCATATTGATACTCGTATTATGAAATCTCTTATCTAGATTCCAATTTTATTGAAGCATAAATTCAACATTAATATTATTTGGAAAAATGTAAATTTAGATGTTAGCGTCGTTTATTCTACGGGTATTTAACTGGCCTTCAGGGCATGCATTTACTACAGCTCTACAAAACAAAATCAACGCAGCAACCCTTCCAATGCACGCATGGTTGCAAATTTCAAATTATCAACGTGCCAGTACGCAACGTGAAGCTAAATCAGATTTTAGCACCTTCTCCCATATTTCATATCACGTCTATATTCAACGCCAATGGAACCCAGTACCTACTTACATTTGTAGTTCGTTCGTTTCAGCCGAATGACGTCCAATGCTGGACAAAGGCCTCCCCCAAGGATTTCCACAAAGACCGCTCCTGCGCCGCTCGCATCCAGGCACTTCCCGCGACCTTCACCAGATCGTCGGTCCACCTAGTGGGAGGCCTGCCCATTTGTAGTTAAGTGCTAAAAATTACTCAAACACAAATTAACTGTCTTATAGCCGAGTAAGCGCAAGAAAAGCGATTCGAGACACTTCAAACTAGAAGACCACTGGTTGACAAAGTCAAACACCAGTGAATCAAAACGTATGTAGTATGAGATTTATGATTTTTGCCCCAATTTAGACGAAGCGATTGTAGAAAGGCAAGCTATTTTACTACAATATAACCTCTCTACTGGCAGATATTCGCACGCGCATAAGCATTATTCAGTTTGTAATCAAAGATAGCTCAATCTAATAAAGATAAAACCATTTCAGTGACAATGTCATTCAGCTCAGCCTGAAAGTTTGCCAGTTACTATTGGCACGAACTGTAGATATTAACATACACGTATCCAGGATGCACTAGCCCGTGCAGAGTGGTCAATATATACAGTGAGTGGCCAATAAATCGTACAGATACAGAAATGCGAGGCCATTCACTCGGCCTGCAGTGCAGTTCGTAATTGTCGTTTATTACTATAAGGAATGTGCGCACCTGGTGTATAAACTAGAGCTAAAACCTAAAAGGTGCTAGAGGTGGATACCTTATAGCTACTATCACTTTGAAGAAACGAGCTTTCGGAGTAAGTAAAGTAATGGTTTTGGCCTTTAAAATAAATAAAAAACATTTGAAAACTTTGCAATGAAACACTATAGTGTACGGTATGATAGCATTGAATATTATTTCATCCATTATAGTTATGGTTAAAGTTTTTTTAAAAACGGCAGTAGGCATCTTAGGGCCGATTCTAATGAACTTTTTTTTGGAAGTTCTACCTAGGAAACGTTTCCTTGAGCATATAATTATTACGTATACGGAAGTTCTTTAAAAAACCTCTTAAGTTGTACATACCATCTAAAAAAGTGGCGAAAGTGAAAAATATCGTAAGTACTAAACTCGGTAATTTATATTCTTTTGTCTTAAAACGTAACATCAGCCTCACACAAAGGGTCGCAACGTGGAGTAAGGTCTTATGTATGTATGTATATCTTGTATGTATACTCCTTTCCTTTGTACTATAACATGACGGATAGCATGTTTTTCGTAAACAAATGACGGTCGTACCATTGGAACTCTCTTGTTTTTGATGATTCCATATTTGATTTTGCTGCGTTCGATGGTTCGTGGTGAAAAGAAGAGAATGCAAATAAAACGAATGAATAACGTTATTAATTATGATAATACAAAAAGAATGTGATAGAAATTACTGAAGTTGTTTTGTTAAAAACTGTAAGAGATGCTCTTTTGTTTTTTTTTCATTACTTGTATTGTCCTATAGTTTCATTGATGCGATACAATGACAGTAATAAATCACGGTATCACTGTGATATCTTATGAAGGTCTATCGTATTAAATTGCATACTATTATTTTGCAGCAAAAATAATAGTCTGATGTGATGTCAACTAAATACGAAATTGACATTAAGTGGTCGTATTTTTCTATTTCCAAAAAAGTTTCAGTCCAGTAGTAGGGGGTTGCGTGTGTCGCACGGGCCTCGTACGTGATGTAATCCGTTAAAATTCTCGTCGCGAGCCCGTCACGTTTATAAATAAGGCGTCGAATTTTTGTCGTTTGACACGACATCAAAGATGTGGCGCAACCTTAATCTTTGCATGACGTTCATACGTAAAATGCAAATACGCGACACGTCACATTTTCATTTTAAAGGGTTACATAATTAAGTCATGTTTAAATTAAAGTGCGGCGTTTTATTTATGTGTTATAATAAGAAACCCCACTTCCTTATAACTGAACACCTTTTAGCTTTCCTAAGAAGACGATTTCTTAAAAAATCGAGGCATTTATCTTTCCATTAATTTTCTTAGCTATTCTAAAGGTGTTTAAGTATTATTGTTAATACAACAACAATAATAGCGGGAACAAATAGCAAACAGGATGAAGAATAATTAATTCTAACACACTTTGTCCTTCTCATTTTCGCATACCAATCATGTTTTGTAATGGAATCTCCTCAGATGTTATTTATAATACAGTAATACGCCCACATCATGGATGTCTGATGGTTAAGTCGTTGCTTAGTGGGCTTATTCAAATTATTTGTCGTTTTGTATAAGTATTTGTATATTTGGTATCTATTTTAAGAACGGGCGAGGTTTTAGGGTTTGTGTATGGCTTTACAATGAATTGTAACTATAAGTCGAATTACGCAAAATGATGACTTGCAAAGAGGAGCTATTTATAACAACACCGGCAACAAAGATTTACCTACCTACCTACTTAAAAAATCTCTAGCTCCAAATAATACAAATACACAGTTTCCTATTTTATCAAAGCTGTATTTCTGGAGCTTATAGCTCTTGTTGTAACTAAATAATTTGAATTTTAATATCATTGAATAACAATGTAATAGGTATTTTGTAAAAAGTATTTTCACTATATTATGTAGTCCCAATTTCGAAAAGGAAACTTTATTTTCACACAAACGATTGTCAAGCCGACTTTCCTTAACTTTAACACTTTACCCATTTACATAGACAAACCCTAACCGTAGCCAAGACTGTTTAGCTAAACAAACGCTATAAAGACGCGAGCACACGGCCAAATCGCTGGCACTCATAAGCACGCGTTTGGCACGCACCGCTGGCACCGAGTGGCGATTTGGCATCTTCCGACATGCAAACTTGCGCATCGTCAGCACTAGGCTTTAGGATTGCGTGTGTACACTAGTAGGAGGATATAGAGTGGAAACTTTATCCTTACATGACCAAGCGAAGCAAAATGGCTACGTCCAACCGCAGGACATGAATCTCATCACTTGACGTTCGCCCAAGCCATACTCTACACGTGGGTTAAGTATGGATTGGTGTCATTGTCAGCTGAACTATCAAACCCTCGGTCTTTAAATCTAGAGTACCAATTGCCCTGCCAAGATGAGAGAACGGAAGCGCACGATTGTGATTTACTAACAAGGCGTTAATTTTGTGCCAATAGGTCATTAACTATGTAACGGCTAAGGCACACATTTTGACTAATGTGTAGGAATTGTGGAGGACTTATATGACTAGGATTATTACTAGTACCCTATGACGAGAGTAAGAGAAAAATAATAGTGAAATTACAAGCTTTATACAACAACATATTTATAAACGGTCACAAAAATCAACCCACGTTACAGTATGCAACGTTTCACGCGTCGTTTGCATAATATATGTACATATTTCCACAATACGTAGGCAAATTAAACCAGTATTATTCACCCTTAGAATCGGCGCTAATAACCGCACAGAATCGAACCCCTTTCAGGTGCCTGAAATTCGTATATTGAAAGTGGGTTCTCTTTTTACCTATGAAATAATTTGTATGCGGGGTGACAAGGTTTTAAATCGATTTTCTATTGACGCGTTTTTAAACCCCTTTGGCTGAAATGGAATTAAGTTCAGTGTTGCTGTCATAAGGGTAGGGTATTATTTTATTTTTAACTAGCTGACCCGGCGAACTTTGTTCCGCCTTAATGGCAATAAATAAGCAGACTTTTTTTTTAATTTCGAACGGGATAAAAAGTATCCTATGTCCTTCTCCTGGCTCTAAACTACCTCCCTGACAATTTTCAGCTAAATCGGTTCAGCCGTTCTTGAGTTATAAGTGGTGTAACTAACACGACTTTCTTTTATATATATAGATATATAGATATTTATTGTATACGTAAGAGGTTTTTTTTCAACCAGCTAATATAGCAGTGGGAATACAACATAAAATTATTGCAGGTATTTTAAAGAACCTACGAAAGATGAGCGAGTAAAAATTATACCAACCGAATTGAGAATCTCCTCTTTTTGTTAAAAAGGTCAAGTAGATAGTAGATGCCACATCTCGTTAACAAACGTTAACAATCTGTAGTTTAATTTGTTAAACAATTCGCTCTTGTTAAAACAATAGAATAAAAATGTATACTGTCCACCATTTTTTATAAAAAAGAAAGAAAAGAACATAAATGTGATGAAACAAAGACTTCATACAACAATCATCCTTTGTCTCACTGTACTAAATTCGAGCTCAAAGCAAACAATAATTGTAACATAGAAAGTAACTTTACGTTAATTCAAACTCGCAAACAAAACTGAGTACTACTGAATAAATCATACATTAATATCTACGAAGTTGCAACAAATAGAAAAGTTTTACAAGTGAAAATTGTACGAAACGTAATTTTGTTGAGCACCTTAAATTAAGGCAGGAAGGTCCCAAATGAAAAACAAAGTTTCGTCCTTGTTTCTATTAAAGTCGTAATTAATTGTGAGGAAAATTGAAGGTACGGACGAAAAATACAACGGAATATTTTCCGATTTTCATCTGCTCGAATATTGTTCTGGGTATGAAAATTAAATCATCTTGATTTTGTATTACGTAAAATTAAATATTGTATTTTAAAGTTAATATAACAAGTAAATTGACCAACTTTTCTGAGCTTTTCATAATTTAGGCTGAGTTGCACCATTTTATTTTGACTTTAACAAACGTCAAAAATCTGACAAACTCCGTACAAAAAGACCGGTTATCGTTGTAGTTACTGTTAAAGTTATGTGGTACAACTCAGCCTGAATGTAGGCAAGTAGGTAAAGATATTGTTTTAGTAATCGTTTGGTTTGGTGATAGTCAATTTTGACATGTCAAGTTCCCAAATTGTGCCTAACATGAACCGGTAAAGTCTAGTTTCACGCCTTTCTTTGAGTCTAGCTCCGCCTGTGCGTGTGCGTGAATAAGCCTAACCATGTAAATTGCACAGCCGAGCAGAGCCGGCGGTCACGTCTAACTTTTATTGGTTCAGCGACTTGACCGAATGTGGAAGGCCTTGGAAAATTCAACTCGGTTTAAACCTTAAAGGAATTAATGTGTTTGCTATTGAAAAAGTGTAAATAAAGCAAGGGAAACTACCTATATGAAATAGGTTTTATTATTCCTGTACCTCTAGTACGAAAAACTTTCGAGTTCGTTTCGTTTGCGTATTCAAAGTGTCATCGAAAAATTTTGTATGAAAAATTAAACAGCGCCCCCTAGGGCGGCTATAATATAGGGGGCGCTGTTTAATTTTTCATACAAAATTTTTCGATGACACTTTGAATACGCAACGAAACGAACTCGAAAGTTTTTCCTACTAGAGGTACTGATCGGGTATGAGTATAGAACCGAGAAAAATAAACACCGAAAGAGTTACGAGAGCGGATAGAGGAAACTTTTTTTTTTATGTGATAGGAGGCAAACTTTCTGGTTCAGTATCAAAATAATTATGTACGAGTATGTACATCTTATAAGTTTGGTAATTATACATTTTGAATATGACCATATTTATAAGTAAAAGCTCGACTAAATTGTGGTAATCCCACTCGTGACACCTGCATAATTTAGCTTAATACGAGAGCTTAACGAGAGCTTTTTAAGAACAAAAAAAAGATACAATTACAAACTATTATAATTTACGTAGATAGAGAACATTATTGGACGTACTTATCCTACTTCAACTTATTTAAACACAGGTACCCAACTAACTAATGCTCACTGTATTGTACACCGTTATCTNTCAGAACCTAACAAGATTTCAATAGACTGTCATAATGCAGAATTATATGAAACAAGTATTATTGGTACAGGCTTAGTCAGTATCCCCAAGGATTGCATTGGCTATTGTAAAAGCACGACGCTAATTCCAAAATACAATGTTTTAAATATCACATCACCAATCAATCACGTGCCAGATTTTAATTTGATCAACGATACTTGTTGTAACATAAATAAATTAAATGATGTAAGGGATAATGTGTCCCCTATCCACCTACATGACATAGATTTAGACGATTTTAATTCCGAAAACAAAAATAAAATAAAATCTCTTCTAGACGACTTAAAAAGCATCGAACACCCGCCAAATCCACATATTGTTAAATATGGGACACACTATTCCATTATCATAATCCTAATGTTTATTGCTATAATTGCTACATTATGTTATTGTACCGCTAAGCGACTATTTTGTAAATCCGGAAGCAATCGTTCCTTTAAATTTAAAATCAACCTAAATAGACCTTCATCCCAAACACCCCCCGAAACACTAGACAGTACAGACAGACAGGACCCTAACAATTTTGATATAGAAATGACCAGCCCTGTTGCCCCGCTCAGAACCAAAATTTAACAGAGACTTGGAGTCTTCAACCCCAAGTCTCCTCTAGAAGGGGGAGGTGTTATATCCGGTATTTGCATCCCTTATTGCTGCCCTGGCCGCCCATCCCGCCATGTCAGCAGTTTGGGATCCAAAGCCATGTCTCTCAGCCTTTCGAGTAGTCAGTCCGTGCTCAGATCCCAAAGTAGGCGGTTGCTCCCGGATAATTAATCCGAATTCAAGTTCTAATTAAAAGAAGTTTTTTTTAAAAAGCTAATTTCAATTCCCCGCGTAACAGCTCGCGCGTAATTATGTTGCTGTTACGCTCGCACACTCACTGCGGGTGTCAGTCAGATAGTAGTCAGACAGTATAGTAGGAGGCCTGCCCACGATACGTCTTCCAGCCCGTGGTCGCCACTCGAGGACTTTCCTGCCCCAACGGCCATCGTCTCTACGAGCTATGTGCCCCGCCCACTGCCACTATATTTTAGCAATTCTGCGAGCTATGTCGATCACTTTGGTTCTCCTGCGGTAATCCTACTAATATTATAAATGCGAAAGTTTGGATATCTGGATGTCTGGATGTCTGGATGTTGGTTACTCTTTCACGCAAAAAACTACAGAACGGATTTTGATGCAACTTTACAGTATTATTGTTTATAGACCAGAATAAAATAAAGGCTATAATTTACGACGATCTGTGACAAACTGAATTTTACGCGGGTGTAGCCGCGGGCAACAGCTAGTAATTAATTATGCTTCTGCACAAAAATTTAAGCCGATAGAGTTAAGCTGCGCACCTCGCTGGAATGCGACTCTCCCTCGCACTCACCCGCACACCTCCCCGCGCTCGCCCCGTTCGTACCAGAGCCCCGATTACGGTAACTTTTTTTAACGTCTACAATCCAGACGCGTTTCTGATTCTGCGATACGATTGGTCAAAACAGCTGACGTACGCTGTTGAACGACCAATGGTATCGCAGAATCGAGAAGCGTGTCTGGATTGTAGACGTTAAAAGTTACCGTAATCGGGGCTCAGAGCGTCGCTGTGACGTCACGGCTGTCAGGTGTTAACTTGATCGGATACTACATATTTGTATTCTACTACTAAAGCAATTCAGATTGCCGTATGGAGTCTTAAGCTATTTCAATAAAGATGATTCTGCATTAAAAATGTAGAGTTTAAGGCTTCTCATTTTTCTATGCATTTTATTTTCAGTTTCAACTATTCAATAGCAGATAGATGGATTGGTGAATTTAATGAAAAAAACATATCAAAGGTAAGTTTACACATGAAACAATAATAGCCACGATATACGATAGCCCAACGGTGAAGTGGTCGGATGGCCGACTCGAGATCCGAGGAAGATTTATTAAAAGTATGACGCCATTTAATTTTGATTTGTTTGAATATTTTTAATCAATTTTTAGATGGCGGCTGCAACCTCTTTATACAATAAACATCAAGACCTAACACCTATTCTTCGTTGGGAAAATGTCATAGATAAAGTAGACTTAGTGCATCCACCAGTGACCTCCATTGAGTGAGTTTCATATTATGATGTAATTTTGGTTAGTAGTTGAGATGGACTTCAAAAGCTTAACCCTGATGTTCCTTAAGTTTCATGTGTCGTTGCAATTTCATCCGAAAGAAGCCAGAAAATTGTATAATCATCATCAGGTCACTAAAGTCGCTGCTACAGAAGCAAAGAGAGAGACAAACACTCCCTATGTTTGCTAGACGAGTTAGGGAGACCTGATATCCTCATTTTTTTCCTGGTTTGCCTTTTAAGACATCCATGGGAAAAGTGGGAGTGGCTCCATTCTATTCAGCCAGATCCACGCAGCTATTCATACAAAACGTTCATTTGTTTCAGCCAAATGACGTCCACTGCTGGACAAAGGCCCTCCAAGGATTTCTGGCCCTGCACTGCCAGCATGTAGGTCCTTTCCGTGACCTTCACTAGATCCTCGGTCTACCCAGTGATTAGGCCTGCCTACGTCTTCCATCCCGTAGTCGCTTTTCGAGATCTTTTCTGCCCCAACAGCCATCGGATACAAAATGAAATTTTAACCCTTTTCAGGACCAGATACTTCTACCGCATCCCAACTTACGGTGCTGGAAAATTCGAGAATCAGTTCTTGAGGCCACTCAGCTATGGCTCATGGATATCAGTAGTAATTGTGATAACACTATGCGCGTGCGTTTTGCTGATATCAGCTAAACTGGAGAGGCGACGATCAGCGGGGCAGTACGCCATCTTCTCTGTACTGGCTTCAATGTGCCAGCAATGTATGTGTTGCTTTATTCATGGAGATAATTAGTACCTATAATAACTTGTGAGCTTGCTTACATTTTTTGGTGTTGCAGTTTTTGAAGATAATACCAGTTTTACACCAAGAGTATCCGCTGGTAAGTCCACCACATCTGATATTCTAAGATTAAACATCACCTCATTTCATGATAAAGTCATACTGGCTTTTACCTTATTTCGGTTAGTCACAGTAAATCTTTATCCCTCTTTCAAAAACCGCAGCAAAAACTATCTTGATTTTTTTGGAATTCAAATTCATGACATGAAAAGGTATATTTTCTTTTTCTGTAACTTTAAACTTCTCACTCTTCTTACTCAAGAAGAAAATCTAGTAGTCTCCTATTTCAAGTGTTGCTAACAAAATGCCTTTAAAATACAGCTCGCCAACTAACAATTTTTGTGACTGGCATCTCCTGTGTCTTGATCTACAACTACTACACGAGCAGCGTGGTCAGCTGGCTGCTGAACGGACCTCCTCCTTCCATCAACTCCTTGCAAGAACTGCTGGAAAGCCCCCTGGAACTGATATTCGAGGACATAGGGTATACCAGGTCTTGGTTGCAGGTCAGTTGATTCATTCCATTTCCAAAATTAATATTTTTGGCAAAATAATGGCAACAATGGACCGACGACCTGATAAAGGTAGCAGGAAGGCGCTGGATGCAGGCCGCTACCAATCGTGCGATGTGGAAGTCATTGGGGGAGGCTTACGTTCAGCAGTGGACGTCCTATGGCTAAAATGATGATGATGAATGGCAACACTAGAATTTTGAACGTTATAAATCTTAAATTCACAACTCACAACAGGCTTTAATTTGGGAGTACACCTAACTTGGGTAAATTACCAGACCAACTGAGAAAGTCAGAGATAACACAAAGATACACCATATAAAATTATCACTTCACGGGATTTATTGCAACAATATCGAAACGTCGGGAGGGTAAATATTATTTACCGTTAAAATAGATATTGTTGCAATAAATCCCGTGAAGTGATAATTTTATAGTAAAAAATGCAACATAATAGTTTAAAATATTATACACCATATATTTTATTTCTAGAAAAAATCCTACTACTATAATATAAGAAATATAGAAATCGAAGACGAGCTTCGAAAGAAGAAGGTTTTCAATAAGAAACCTAATGCACCACTACTAGTACCCGTCGAAGAAGGAATAAAACTGGTCAAAGCTGGAGGTATGCACCAATTAACCACATAAAAATTAGCGGTCTATTTGATCACATGACTTTGATCACTCAGGTGATCGAATAAGCGAATAAGTTGGGGCATTGTAACAATGGACCCTCTACTGGCATTACAATAGCTATATTTTTAGTACTGAAACTCAAAATAAAAAAAAATGGTTGTGTTCTCATGCTCTTAATGAAACCATAAGTTTGTTTATTTATTTATTTATTGTTAGGCATACACAACAAGTAACAATCACAAATAATAAAGAAAGTAACTTATGCTTAGATCTAGATCATCACTCAAATAACGTGTACACACAGCATGGTTAAAATATTACGTAAACACTATTATATTATTGACTTAATTAACAGTATTAAATATAGTAAGTTAGTTTTAAAACAAATTAGGTAACAATACTAGCTATGTCAAAGTAATGCCCGAAGAGGAAGCGCAGTAGAGGATCTTTTTGACGTTGCGACGGAATCGGACGTGCTTAGGCTCAAAAATATCGAGATCTAGTGATATCGATGTTTACTTGATCTTTCTCCAGGATATGCCTACCACACTGACACCAACAACGCCAATAGGCTGATATCGCAGACGTTCACACAAAGCGAGCTGTGTGAACTCGGCTCTTTGCAATCCATGGCGAAGGCGGAACTGTATCCAGCCTTGCAAAGGAACAGCCCTTACAAGGAGTTCTTTGTTTGGGGGTAATAAATATTCAGAGATTAATTTTAGACTGATACCATAATTATGGTAGTACATTATGGTATCCCACCGACGATCTGGTGAAGGTCGCGGGAGGTGCCTGGATGCGAGCGTCACAGGACCGGTCTTTATGGAAATCCTTGGGGGAGACCTTTGTCCAGCAGTGGATGTCTTTCGGCTGGAACAAACGAACGAACGAACCATATGGTTTATTTAGACGATATTATGGTCATCAAGATCTGGTCTCCTTTTTACCCTCGACCAGTAAGTAGGTCTAAGATGCGCGCCGCGGTAAGGCGGTTATCACGCCATTTTATTGATTTTGCCCATACATTTTGACGTCGATAAAAATTATCACGGCGCGCATCTTAGGTCTACGGATATATCATTCTACCAAGTTGAGAGGATAAATTGAAGACAAAAAGGTTTTAATACTGTGGAATTGAACAAAAACATAAAGAAGCGTTTCTAATTATTGACTTAGGTATCAAGATGACTACTTAAGTATTTCAAATGCTCCAGTACCATGTCTAACGACACTTTCCCAGATCGTAGTACGAGTATCGGTAATTAAGAGAGCAGGATCACTGTTTTCTATGATCTTCCAGTTCCATACGTCTCTACGAGCGTGGCATAGTAAAGTTTGTCCAGCGCCGCATCTCGTCGCCTGCTGTGGAGTGCGAGGGTAGCTCACCGAGGGCTCTGGCTTTGGGAGGGGCCGCTCCTGCCTTCCTACTGTTAGCTGCTGGGTACCTGCTGGCCACGGTTATTATGCTGGTGGAGAGGTTAGAACTGCTTTTGAAGATTTTTTGCAAGCTTAAATTAATTTGGAGCAATGATTATTAAGAGGAAAGTTTTCTTCTTCTTCTTATCGTGTCGACAATAAACCTACACAGTGTCAGACCAAAACTCCGCTACAAGAGTGGCGTTGTCAGCAGCATTCATTAAATCCTAATGCGTGCAGTTACTCGGGCACTCAGGGCACGACATCATGTGCTTCATCAACTGGGGAACAAAACCGCACCTGCACTCCATGTTTGAGCCATCCAAGAATCCCCACCTGACCAGGCTGTCCTTACTACGGCCTACCTGCGTCCGAAGTCTATATGAAAGTTTTGATGCATGTGTTAAAATAGCATGTGAGATAGCTTAAGCATTCAGAATCAAATCTTGATAAATATGCCTTTAACAGCTATCCAACCTAAATACAATGAGATTATTTTCCCCAGTAAACCATAAAGGCAAACGCTTTCGGGACTTCAGTTAATCATAATTTCCAAAATTGCAATTTTTTTAACACTAATCACTGACTTTTTTAGACAATACTTTGATGTTATGCGAAAACTATAAAATGCTTTATTCTTTTTTTTATTTTCAGGGCAATCTGGCGACGCAAATACAAATCTAAAGTTGTTTTGAAGCTGAAAATGTAGAAATTTAATGATATTACCAAGAAAAAGTAGGTTCCCACTTCCACAGCGCAAGTTTCTTAGTTACTTTGCATAATGAAGTAAGTAGTGATTGCTTCAAAGACCTCACGCTTCTTTGCCTCTGTTAATATTTATTAAAAATATGCTTTATGAAGCTTTTGAACTGACTTTTATATTTGCCTTTTCATGATGTAAACTAAATTACAGATTGTAAAAGACAGGTACACATAACTTTTATACAAAGAGTTCTGATTATCACCATCAAAGGATAATATTACGATGATCACGCAAAATAACTACAAAGACAACCAGTGTGATTGTAGAAGGTTCGTGTAATTTTACAAAAAAATGTATGTTACATAATCTGATGGGCTGTAGACTGTAAATATTTAGGTACCAATGTTTAACTAAGATCTGAGAATAATTTATGATTCATTGTTAAACCTTGTGCGAATGAAAAGTTATGACTACTTTTCGAATCAAAGCCTGTCTAGCATTTATTTTGCAATAATTATTTCCTCCTATACTTGTACCTAACTACTCCTGTTTTCACAAATAAAGTAAATAGTAGCTCGGACTAAATATAATATTTTTTCATATCCCTATCCCAATCCGTAACAGCACAATCAAATACAGATTCGCAGCGATTTGTTTTGTCCACCCGTGCAAGGCTTTATTAAATCTCTATATACAAAACATATACACCGAAAGGCCGTTTCAATCAGCCTCTGGCTGGCTGCCATGGTTATTCAACTGCCTGTTAAAATAAATCTGGATTTACTATACATATTGACGGCTCTGCATAACGAATCGTTGCGTAAGAATTTTTGGACAAACGATTAAAAGTTGGCTTTGGCCACGACTAAGATGAGAAGAAAACGGGCAATATTATGAAGGAAATTTTGATAAACAGTGAAAGAGAGTGGACAGGACGTAAACCCCTATCGAACGAACGCTTTAAAGTACGATTTTGCAAAAACAACCCAACCAGCTGGGCTAGAAAGCGTGGCGTGATAAAATCTTATCGATAATTTTAAACGCCAAAATGCGAAAAATCGATAAAATGTCGCGAAAAAGCTTATCGCGGTGCGCTTCTTAGACCTACAGAAAGACCTAAGCGTTGTTGCTAAAGTATACCTAAAGATCCCTAGATAGGTAAATTATGAACACTATAATCCGGACCTTTTCAAGGCGAGAGTGAATAGGCACTTACAGGGCAGATATTGTGCCATCCTAGACTGCATCTCACTTAACACCAGATGCGTTTGCGGTCTAATACCTGCCTTGTTATGCATATTTTTTTAAATGTTAGTAGCATTAAATTCAGTAGGTATTTTTATATAATAATACAATTTTCAATTAATCGTAATTGAAACAATTGATTGATGTTCCCAATAGTGCTATGAGATACTCAAGCAGTTACAAAACCGTCTAATTATCGGAAGGTAATCTATAATATATAAAGCTCGATTCCTACTCACTCACTGACTCACTGACTGATCAGGGGTATTTTTGGGGTATTTAGAGGGGAGATGGGTAAAATTTTTGGTGTTTGTTTTAAACTAGATTTTTCGACTGCCAGCTTTACTAGATTTTTTGAACCAAAAAACAAAATGGCGGCACTTTTTGAAACACCAACTTTTTTGTTTTCGGTCCTGAATTTTTTCCTTTTTGGGAGTTTATTAGGGTTGCCAAGGTGTGTGAAAAAATGTGAGAAAAAAATGGAAAAACAAAATGGCCGAGCCGCCATCTTGGATTGAAAATGCGATTTCGAGGTGTTTTTAGGGAGGTGTCACTCCGAGATGCGCAATTGTTTTTGAAAAATTCNCATTTTTCGGCCAGTTGGCAACATTTGGGAAAGTCGAGTTGTATATGGCGATTACGTAGTTTGTCAAGGAGTATCGTTTGGGAAAACAAAAATTTCCAGTGTTGCCATACTTTGGAAGATTTGGTCAAAAAATGTAAAAAATGGAAATAACGACTTTCGGTCAGAAATTTGGATGACGCCTCCTGCAAATAGGTCAAACTAATGACATTTGACCATTTTCATCTCGATCACCTGGCAACACTGGGAATTACGGGAACACAAAATTTTGTGACATGGGTGTTTTTAAGGAATTGTTTTACGGGATTGGGTGAGGATAGAAAAAAAGTAAAAATGGGGTTCGGCGCGGAAAATGGTCCAGATTAAGGGAAAAATGCAAAATTTTGGAAATCCAAGATGGCCGCCAAGCGTTCACCCGTTTTCCTAAAGGGACTAAATTCTCCATACAAATTGTACGCAGGGGGGCTCAGCTAACGTAGAAAAAGGCGAGGCCGAGGGCCGAGCGATAGTTTCAAGCCCAAAAATCGCCATAGATTAATTTTTAATGCGTCAAAAAAGGACTAGAGCCCAGTGACAGACAGAAAGGCGAGGCCGAAGGCCGAGCGATGGTTCAAATCCCAACAGTACCCATAGATTTACTCGTGTTGCGTCAAAAAAGCACAAGAGCACAGTGACAGACAATAAACACCCCCTGTAATTTTTGCGAGGCCGCAGGCCGAGCGCCGCGTAGGGCGAAGCCCGGAGCGGCCAGCATCGCAGATCTAGCTTTTGTAGCCCGCGTAGCGGGCGACCAAAGCTAGTTAATCTCTATAAAGACCTATTGTGGGGTTGACAATTAGTTTAAACTTAATTAGACCTTGTAATTACTCCATAGTGGCATGTATCAAATTACTAAAGTAGTTAATCATACAAATGAATACTCATCAAATTATCTGAGTATGATATAATTAATTGTTACTATCTGTTGAATTAAATATCTATAATCTTTTTTTAAGATATAAATAAATAAATTCTCAATCTAAATAATTTGGCAATCTGAAAATCGTACCTACTTCCTAAGCTTAACATAAATACCTATTTCGTTTCAAAATGTCTTTTAATTTTTTGTTACTATTTTATTTAGTGTTTTTTTTTTCAAGTCATAAGTACTTGTCTTTCCTTTTTATTTCTTATCATTATGTCAAGACTCATCATTTATTATCAGCCATAGGACGTCCACTGCTGAATATAGGCCTCCCCCAATGCTTTCCATGTTGCCCGATTGGTAGCGGCTGCTACAGATTACTGCAATAAAAAATATTTCTCATATCCATTGAAAATGTTTAGTCTAGTTTAGACATACTTGCTATGCTTTACATTCTTATCCAGATTTTTAACTTGTTGTTTTTAACGTTGCCCTAACTTGAACGCCTTTTTATAGAGCCGTTTGAAAAAAGGTCGACTAATTCTATCCGCAAAATGTATTTTCCTAGATAAGGTTCTACGTAGTTTCCAAAGAAAACACTTACGTAATTAACCCTTTTCCCAGACCAACTTGGGTGTACATTTTACGTGTTTTTACGGATCTTATTTTGTCGATTTGTCTCACACAAACTCCCAAAGGGCGTCCATTTGCCCAAGACCTGCTCGGAAACCCAGGTACGTTATACGGACTAATTTCCCCTGCGACTGGAGGGCTACCGTCACGCACTCCACACAGATTAGCTGGTAATCCGGTCACTGGAATATAGACCTTCCCTGCCATATATTGCCAATTTAAGCTTAACCAATATTGTACTGGGAATTGTCACCACAGCGAAGGGAGTTCGGAGATATGTAGTACCTTTGCAGTATATTGGAAATACCTAAGTATATTTGGTAGAGTAAGTACCAACGTCTAGATAAAATCTATTTTTCAATGGATTCCTTTACGGCTAGCTTATGAAAGCCCGCTTTCTGAATTGAAAATTCCAACTTCAGCGAATTCATCTTCTACTTAAGTAAATTTAATATGAAAAGTGCATACTTGTTTAGAAGACGATCACTCTTAAAAGCTAAAAATTTTAATAAAGAAATCGAGCAATCAGTCTGTCACTGAAACTTGAAGACTTGAAAACTAAGTAGGTAGTAGTAGTAGGTACATGTTCAAAATAAAGCAGCATCACGCCATAATGTTTTCATTTTTTTATTCTAAGTTCAAATTCTCATTAGTTTCCTCCTCTTATGTAGGTAAAAGTAATTCCTGAATGAATCTCAGATATTAAGTATGAGCTTCAAAATCGTTTAAAACCCAATTTAAAAAAGTGATTTTCCAGACGTTTCCCTTTAAAAAAAGCTCTGTACCCATCCGCTTTTTACAAGCCTGTCCCTTCAACCAATATTTGGACTTCACGCTAGCCTTTTAACTTCCCTAAAACTATCGGAGCGTTTAAGCGTAAATGAACGCGAAAAACAAATTCATTCCAGCGCACGCGTTATTACAGCGAGCGCCCTCCGCACTAATTGGAAACTAAATTGCCTTAAGTGACAATAGAAGTAGGTACGGTAGGTATATTTGTTAGACTTTTAAAGAACTAATTGCATTAAAAAATACAGCGACAATAACTCAATGTCGGACTGGCCGACACGAGATCCGACGAACGCTGGTTCGATCCCCGCCGCGCTTGACTATTGGTAAACCATCTCCTAATATGATCTTACCTTTCTTCCTACTCGTAACACAAGCATATTTGATCTATTTTCCTTAGCACGAGAGTAATTTTGTGCAATTAAAGTTTGTGGGAAGAACTGTAAGCTTTTAGGTACGAAATTCAAATTCCTTCTAATCTCTTCTTCTTGTGGTTTCGACAACAAACCTACACAGTATCAACCCAAAACTCCGCCACAAGAGTGGCGTTGTCAGTAGCATTCATTAAATCTTCCTGCATGCAGTTGTTTGGGCACGCAGGACACGGTATCATGTGCTTCGTCGACTGGGGAACAAAACCACACTTGCACTTCAAGTTTGAGCCATCCAAGAATCCCCACTGGAACAGATTGTCCAGAACCTACTGTGTTTTACTACGTTGTGCTTAACAAATTAAGGATTGGATTCGCACAATCAATTGCATATTGTGAGATATTAGTGTAGGCAAAGGGTGCGCCAAAGTTCACCTAAATTTTCAACTCCGAAAATTGGAAGTCCGAAAATGTTCTTCCTAAAATTTTTCATCCTAACAATCACAATTCCTAACTACTCTGTCTCTAATGTTCATAATTCCGAATCATTCAACTTCATAATGTCATTAGCAATAAACATCTATTACACTTTTATTTGTTCTCCTAGATTTTCTAAACATAACCATATTTTACACTATTATTCAAAGTCATATCTTTTTTGTTTAGATTTCTTTCTTTAACGATATAATTATTAAAGTTCAAGTTTTTTGGCATTAGCACGTATACTTGAGTCCCGCTCCATTCATTCAGTCAAGTTCCAGAAACGAATCGGTCCTATTCATAATTATTGGTTTAGGTTAGGTTAGAACTGTGACCACAACGCACCAGCCGAGCGAGCGAAGCCAGAGTCCCGCTCCAGTCATTCAGTCAAGTTCCAGAAACGAATCGGTCCTATTCATAATTATTGGTTTAGGTTAGGTTAGAACTGTGACCACAACGCACGAGCCGAGCGAGCGAAGCCAGAGTCCCGCTCCAGTCATTCAGTCAAGTTCCAGAAACGAATCGGTCCTATTCATAATTATTGGTTTAGGTTAGGTTAGAAC